TATAATCTGAATATGTATATATGTACACGATCATTCGGTGCAAATGAGCACAGTAGCTAATCAATGAATTACTAAGCGTAACTGCATATGTTAGTTGCTTCCTCTATCCAACGAACGAACAAACACAGGAAACAACAAAGAAGTCATCAATGGCCAAAGTATGTTTATGACACGATTGTAACTGCGACAATTTTCAGTAAGTAACATTTTTTTTAAAACAAATATTGTATGTTATCGCTTCGCTCACACTATCTCTCCTGAAAGACACGAGATACACATCAAAATGAAATATCAAAGAAAAAATACGGCAGGAAACGCATTGGGTTATTACTCAAAAAATAAAATATTTTTTCTATGATAAGGCCCTGCTTTGTCTTTAGACTTCGCCACCTCAAGAGTTAGTGCGCAGTGTCCTATCCCTCTAAGGTAGTGAAGAAGCTATATTGCAAGAACACTCAAAAAGCTTATTTACCCTATGGTCTCCTAAGAACAATTAAACTAGACAATCATATAGTGCTATTCATATAGATTAACCAACTAACATTTTGAACACGGAAGTTACATTTAAAAAAAAATCTGTCATTTTTTCCTATACCCGTCAATTGCTCTTTGGGTTCTACACACCTGCTGCTCAGATCACTGTCTTTGATATTATTTAATAACGAGTTAACTCGAAATTTAATAAAGATTGATAAGGAATAACAATTTTCTCAGCACGATTCCATCATCGCTTTTTTTGTTGAAATGCATTCCCTAAAAAAGGCAAACCTTTGCTTATACAATCCCACCTACTCGTTAAAATCAATACATTGTTTATCTAGAAAGGAGTTCATAGCGCATTTCCGGGCATTAGCAAATTTGCTCATTTACATCATATTTAATAACTATTAGCTTTGTATGAACATCGTTTTAGTCTGGAGCACTCAAAGAAGAGAAGTCGTAAGAAAGCATTTTCAAGGCCTTGTATTAGATTCTTCCTAAATGTTTGTTTTTTTAACTGAACAGAAAATATCGGTATACCAGAATGCTGCCTTGCCACTTTCCTTCAAGAGAGTAAAGACGTCAAAACATCTTCATATTCATTCCATATCGAAATAACTTACACGCAATTATTAACTTACCCAAGTCGTGCTTTCTTTCGATCTCTCCCACTTGATTCATAATACGTTCCTATATTTACTATTTATTAGCATGCGGCTGCGTACTCGTTTCCACGGCGTTCAAGATCATAATAATTTATTTGCTTCTATGTTGCTAAGATAATTAGTGTCTATCTCTAATAAATTTGCTTTTTTTTACACAACACGCCCTTCGGCACACGATAAGCGGTGGTATGTTCACCCCGCGCCATTTAGAATATGCAACGCAATGCCAGGCTGTACGTTGTAGCGAGAGTTGACGTCCCGTGAAAACATTGGCTTAACTAGCTTGTATGTATGCGTATTGTACAGATCTATTCTTTACTATGTTTTTGCTAGCGATCCTGTTTGCGCTGAATCCTCATAGAGCTCTCCTATTCACATCTCGGGTTCGTATCAGGTCATTGAGAGATGGAAAGAAAGCCTCAAATCAACATTATCGCCCTCAGTGTCACTATAACAACAAATTAATTCGACTTTGGATCGTGCCATAATGTGAAGGTCGGCTAGTATCAGAACAGCCTACACATCGCTTTGATATTCTTGCCTGGGTCTGGCATTTAATTAAGCAATCTTTAATGATTATTCACGAGTGTTGGTTGGTTTCTTATAGAGAACCAATTTTCAAGCAAGCACACAGTGCTCAAAGAAAAAATCGCAAAAAGACGATTGGAGGGTCTTCGGTGCGGACATCAAGCAGCTGGCCTTCGTATCCTTTAACTGGCTCCTACTTGAATTGCTATAGGAGACTACCTATGTCGCTGCACCTAACATAATATCGGCGGTACGTTTGTAGTGACCGTTGCTATCTTACTTTACTTCTTAATGCTCTCTGAAGATGGCTAGGGTCATTGAGTTTAGAAGCAGTTCATGTTTGAAAGGCCACCCATTTTCTCTTACTACTATTATTATTATTATTATTATTATTATAGTGTCTTCTCCCCGCTACTTGTGCTGCTTGTCGATGCAGCATGTGAGGTGGCAGGTTGTGTGTAGCCTGCTGCTGTTGTTACGGCTTGAGCTGTACCAGTTTTCTGGGTCGTTGTGGGAAGTTGAGTCGGCTGCTGAGGTTTCGTCTGTTGGTTTGGAGGTAACAGGGTGATACCCATCGCCCGCCGGATGGCATCGACACTCACGATACTGCCGGGCTTGGCGTGACTCGCTAATTCGCTTAAGGTGGCGGCCAGTTTCTCCGCTGAAATCACCCACGTAAATACAGCAGCCCGTTAGACGTTTATCTGAAGTTCATATTTACCGACAGAAAGATGAAATTCATTTTCATCCAGACGGTTGATAACTGTGCTTTCTGCGTTGTTCTGAAATCACTACTCGTACTCAGACAACGAATCAAGTTAGTGATGCTAAGTGCTAAGTAAAAGATATTTAATATTATTATTGAATTGTTCATTCAATCATCACCTACATCGTTATTAATGTAATATTCCCTAACGTGACGTTCATTCGCCTGCCTTATTTTCTGTATTTGTTTATATTTGTATTCGCTTTTACGTAGCCATGTTGGCACTAACAAAAAGTTAGCCAAAAAATCTGCTTGGCAATTAAAACAATAGTGAACTCAACGCACGGATATTCAATGGCTGGAGCTCCGTACCTTGTGCCTCATGCAGCTGGGAATTTCAAAAGCAAAGCAGACCCCGAAAAAATTGCAGACACAACTGACTGTCCCAAACATACCATATATATATCGACTTTCGCCACTTTCTGCTTCTATGGCTCACCGGTTTTCGTCGGTGGAAGCAGAATATCACATAGTTAACGGTCAGAAGAGTAACATACGGCTGCCATAAGCAGTAAGTCCTTATGTCAGCAATGTTAAATAGGCCATCGGACGCTCAACGTGCGCCCGTCAAGTATGTAGGCTAAAACATTGTGTGAAAAGTGACAACATATTGAGTTCTATGGCACTCACGAACTCTACTGGTGACTAACATAATAAATGAGTGGAACATAGACATGGGTATTATTTGTAAAAACTATTCTTTAAAATACGTGTCTTCTGTACCGCATGGGTTCAAGTTAAAGTTTAAAGGCTATAAAGCGTGTGGCCAATATTGAATAGTTGTCAGTAAATTTTGTACAATGATTTTTGCACTTTTATTCTGCACTAATATTGAATGAAATGACGGCTTTCAGCCCACAATTACATCCATGAATCTAAAAGTCCTGTTCTCTAAAGATATCCAGCTTTTCTGTGTGTCATGGGGCCTATTGCCATCCAAGGTATTTGTCTCGATAGATTTGCCAATATGCGCCAACTATTTCGTTGATTTAACGCATTGTTACACAATCTATGTATACGAACATGCAGCGGTCGCTAACAGAATAGGTGTAGCCTTGCTGTTTATTACTTACACTCCTCTGTACTGCGTGTCGCTGATAGGGATCACAGTTTTGAAGATGAATCTCCCATACTTAACTAACTCACTCAGAAAGATCCGTGTATTCTTGTAAGATAAAAGCTTACCAAGTTGTAATTCCGTTGGCGATGGTCCTTGTGTCATTCCGAGATGCGGCGGCGGTGGTTGACTCAATCTTTCTCGTTGAAGCCGTGTCAAACGCTCTATCATCTCGGTCGATTCGGCTAATTTTGCCTGAAGTTTCTGCTCATTATCTCCCGGCGCAGTTCCTCCGGCGTTGGTAGAAGCGCTATTCGCTCCTGTTCCCACGAGACTAGGACTACCGGTTGATGCCCCTGGTCCCGGTGCTGGTGTCCTAGTAATAACTACGGGCGATCCACCCGTTAGAGATCCCATTGGCATAGAGACGCCCCCAAGTGGTGCTACCAGAGGCTGAGTTGGTAGACCTCCCTGATGCAGTGATCCTGCCATTGACTTGCCCACAAGTCCAACGCCAGCAGGCGTCCCCACCGTTCCGGGTACGATAGGGTTGCCCGCGTTCATCACTAAACCACCAGAGGCTCCAGATAGCATCGTAGGTGGCATTTGACCGTGTACGTTATTGACACTAAAATGATTTTCCACGTTTGGTTGTACATTTCCGGTAACAAAATGATTTCCAACCATAACAGGCGCTGGTCCACTATTAGTGTTTGAGCTCGGCAGCATGATTGACTGATTGTGGTTCGATGTCACTGTCGGCGCCATTGTTGGATGATGCTGGAGAGGCGGCTGTTGCTGCGACGGCATTTGGATTCCGGGACCAATCATTTGTGGCTGGGAACACGGCATAATCTGAGATACACCCACATTAGAGCTCTGAACACTACCTATTTGTGGTACTCCATTGTGTAAACTGTTGCTCAGAGGCTGCACCATTGATCCACTGTTCATAGGCGGGCCATGCCCATTTACCAGGGGAGGCTTGCCAACAGCGGGCACGCTGATCACTGGCGTCGGGTTGATACTGTAAAGCAAAGATCATAGCAAAGTCCCAGATATAAGAGGTAGCAAGATCATTATAAATTAATTGAGTAATAAAACACAATTTAATTATATACGAATACTACTAATGCTTCCGAAATAATTGATCTTGTTTCCTTTATACACAAATTACTCGATATCTATTACATAAGGCAATTGGGCACAGAAAACAGTATAAACAAACAAAAAATCTCTTCTACTAACCCATGCGTTGCGTTCCCATTACATTTCGCGGCACCTGTACCATTAGCCATAATCACACCGGCTTGGTTCGAAGGGCCATTGCTAGAAGTAATAACTTTGTCTTGCTGTTTCTCGAAGGATGATTTCTCACTCAGCGATTGCGCTTTTTCGGCTGCGTGACTCCTTTGATTCGCTCTGTCTTTATCACTCGACGACTTTCCACTGTCTTTTTCCTTCGTTTGTTGCTTGTCTGACGATGTTGATTCCTCCTCATCCGGATCCCGTAAAAGTTCCCCAGAGCGAACCAGCTTCAGGGTCTTGCTGTGCTGACCGCCGGTGAGCGTATCTAATAAATTGTCTACCATGTTCATTAGGTAATCGCAGTCTTTGGCAAAGTGCATGATACTATCGGCGTATTGGACGCCGAGTTCGTCACCGTACGTCTGATATACGAGGTCACTCTCAACCTATAATGTGAAAAAAATGGGTCTGAGAAAGACTGCTGTTGGTAATGTTATGCAAGTGGACCGAATATTATGTTTATGCAAATCCAAGTACCGAACACAAAGTTAATCTTTAAAGTAAGTTATCTTGAATCCACTCCAGTAAGATATCCACTATATTTCTTTTACAAATTTAATTGGTATCGACTGAAATACTTCTTAGAGTATGATCGGTTAATTACAATTAGATAGACTGGTTATACAAATAAAAAATTATTAGCCTTATGATAAACAGAAGTAGTAAAAAATAAGACACAAATTTTATGAAAACGATATAGTAATAATTTCTATTTGAGATTTAGGCCACATACCTTGGTCAAATTCGAGAAGCTGGAATCATAGTGTGGAGCAAACGTGGAAAAAGGCGGTCCGCTTTCATTAACGGTGTAGTTGATTGGCTTGGCCACTGATCGGGCTTCATCTTTGAAGTCCACAAGGCTGGACATGCCGTATGGTAATTTTCCCACCAACATTTCTAGGTCGACCTTTTGCGGCGGCACAGGTAATTCAGCCGGTCGGAGGCCAACGTATTTGTCAGTTAACGTAACATCCGGATTGAGTATGCTCAGCGTCGCTGAACCTGCACAAAAAAGCAGCGAAATGTAAGTTCAACTCGAAGCTTAAAAATTATCTTCCTCCGTTGTAATTAATCTTCACCTTTACTTTTCGCTTCTTCAACGAATTTCAAGTCGAAATCTACAATATTTAAAAACAAGCTCTCTCGAATGTTGCTCACTAACGTTTCCCTATGATCAGTTTTGATTCAGGAATATGTAATCAACTTTTTCTTTAGTCAAAGAAACAATCGAAAATAGTAGCGAGAAAATGAGTTCAACTGTTATAAGCGTCTGCTATATACCATCGTCATTCTGTAGGAGGAAGGCGTAATCCGTGTTTGGCTTGAGCATAGCAAGCCGATTGGCGGCGCCTCGCGCCATACGCTGTGCATGGGCTAAAATCTCAGCAGCTGATGCGTCATCAGGAGGCGTCACCTGTGACTGTTGCTCACTGCGGCACCATCGGTGAGAAAAAAAAACAGTCATGGGTTAGTAGGATCGAGCTTAGATAAACTGGAGTCGACATATTCTATTTCCATCAAGGGGGAATTTAATAAGTTACCCCGTATTTAAGAAAAACAATCGATGTAATTACTCTAGCCAACACAAATGTAGCTAAGCAATTTCGCTGCGCATACGTAATTCGCCAACAACTGTGCAATACGCTCAAAAAGTCGCTACGTAATAGGTTGAGAACTCAGTTCTTTCATGATTCTGGCAGACTTTGTTGTACATTAAAGTTCTGTCTACGGTGTAATGACTATAGCCCGCTAGGGAAAGTGTAACACTAACTATAAAATTTTTTTTTCACGAGTAGAAACTGAATTTTTTGACAAGAACCTAATATTTTCATATGCTTTGCTAAAGCCTTCTCTCTAACACAATACAAGATACAGACGCCATACGCTCCTTAAAATTCACGATGTCTGCTGCTTTGTGCAGTCGATGTTCGATAGCTACTAACTCAAAATAAAAACTAGCTAACATAGTCGACAGAAGCTATACGAACTGATACTACAAGTGCGTTCAGCCATAAACAAAGTTAGGGTACCATACTGATTCAGCTTCTATTAGAAAGAATAACAATTTGACCTGTTGTGATTGAATTGTCAGTATTGAGCGCAACGATTTCTGAAGGTTATTTGCTTGTATGACTTTGTTTGATATTGCTACACTTGTTGCTTATTTTTTTTTGTTTGCGATCTATACATATTCCATATTAAAAAAAAACTCGACAGGTCTCTTGCAACAAAGACGCTTATTTTCACTTGATGGAGCCGTTCGTCTAGTGCATTCGGAAAGTTACAAATGTTCAAAGGTGTTTTGAAAATAGGCAAACATACTCGTCAGGTTTGGACTTCTTGGCGAGACCAGGCGGGCTAACGGATCTGACTGGTGTGCCGTCGGGACATGTTATATCTCCATTGAGTTCTGTGGGCGTCTCAGAGCCCGCTGGCCGCGTCGGTGTCTCTTTACCCGTAACGTCCTTTAGATCTTCCCGTTTTGCTTCTTGAGAATAAGTGCGCTCGAGCACAGGACTTCCCTCACTCGAAGCTCTACCACCTAATGATGACACACGGTGGGAACGTGCAACTCCTGCCAGAACACCCTCCTACGAAGCAATGCAATAGGCAATCGAAAATAATGTACAGGCGAAAACATTAGATGTGGTGCAAGACACAAACCGACTAACCTAAATATAATAAAAGCGTCTTTACGACACAATGATTAATTTTCCATTGAATAGCCATGCTCCTTGTTAAACAATTTTAGAACAAACTTATTCCTTAAAACGGTTAATACCGCTAAAACAGAAACTCTAGCTATGGACGCGCTACCATTGATGCAGAAAGTACAGATAAAAATATTATCCATTATTAAGTATACTACAAATATCTATGTAATGGCATTAAAGCTAATTTATTTAACTTAAATCGGTACACATGAGTTTCAAAGTATTAGATTTGTAGATTCCTATATTTTCAAATAGAGTTGCCTACCTTATCATCCCTCGTGACGACAGCTGGAGACTCTGGAGCTCCTACAGTAGCGAGTGCTTGTTCAACAACAGTGGCAGCTAAAGAGATCTTTACTGGAGGCACAGGTCGTTCACCCATCTTCTCGGCGCTCAGTTCCACTGGTTCATCGTCATTGCCGACACGAATACTACTACTTGCGTTGTGTTGCACGCGATTCCGCGTCATTCTTGGTGTCATCTCTTCAATAGGCTCCGGTGTGATCGATCGTAGGTCAAATCCTAACTGATCAACTGGCACAGCACCGATATACTTAAGCTCAGGATCTAGTTGAAGGATGTGCTCCTTCGATAGGATTTTCTGCGAGTGCCTCCATAACTTTCGCGCCTCCTTATAGTAGATTGTGTCAGGTTGGTTATACGTTGTAGCATTATCACATATCAAGCGGAGATCGGCTTTAAACGCTTCCAGCGTTGGATATTCCCGGTTGTCCACTCGCCGCTTCATCGTGCTTAGATCCATTGGTCGAGTGATAATTGTCGAATAACCTGGAGCTATGGCGTCGTTCACCGGCCACGCGAAGAACTCGTACGTATCCCGCTTCCGCACCAGTTCAAGAAGAACTCCGAGGAGACGGTACAGAGGTGAGACTTCCCGAGGACCGGATGGTAATACGCCGACAGGTGACCGCAACGGGACCTCCGGCAAGGGGGGCTGGTTATCAATAGTCTCCATAACTGGCCGTTTTGGAGGTGGTGGAGCTACATCGCCGTCATCGTCGTCGTCGTCACCTGCGGCACCTCCGGAATTGCCTCCAGTTCCTGAGCCCCCTCCAGCTTGACCTCCCCCCATACCCAACCCATCGCCGTCTACTCTATCCTTGCGTTTCTCGCCGCCCCCATGATGATGTTTATGATGATCCTTGTGGTGATGACAATGGGAGTGGTGGTGGTGGTGTTTCTTTTTTTTCTTTTTCTTTTTATCGCTTTTCTTATGGCGATGCTGCTGTAGGTAAGAGCTTGTCTCGCTAAGACTGTCCGACTGGACGCTTCCAGCACCCCCGGTTCCACTGGCACTCGCGCCAGCCACTGCACCGCTGCTCGTTGTTCCATTGATGAGCGGGTTTTCGACCTTTTTGACTGTGCACTCAGCGTTATCGGGATTTGTTACTAAACGAAGTGAGATTCCTGTAAACGATCCGTGAAAAGTAATCGTGCCAAGAATGGAAATTACTTTACCTAAAGTATTCTATATTTGTATACTGAGCTGACCCTCAATCTGAGGCGTCTTACAACTTCCGGCTTCGGAGTTTCCTCATACACTACTATAAAAATCCTGAGGTGGTAAGGACTTAATTAATGTTGGATCAAGTGAAATGTGATAACTTCAGACCTCAACCTTCTTTGAAATAGCTTTTACTATAGACGTAAGAGGCGGTATAGGCAGCTTGCACATGATAGCTATTCATATTATAATATAGTAATATTAATATAGTAATAAATATAATATAGTAATAAGTATAAATCAAATGTCAAAAATCTCGAAATATCTATTCGAAATCGATACGCTACTAGGTTCAAGTCGTGTAAGAAGATTCCATAAGGCATATTCGTTCCGGTCGGTAGGAAACGGTCATAGCTTTGTATCAACGAAGCTTTATGTAAAGTTTCGTAACATTTACGCAAAACAGGAAAAATTAGTTATACTCGCTCAAAATAGTTGCTATTTTGTCCAACAATATTGGCATCTTTATACGCAATAAGCAATAGCAATAATAATACATCTAAAACGTTAGAACTAAAAAATGCTTACCTCCTGTGGGTGGATATCCCCCCGAATAGAGCGGTGTGGGTGCTGGTACCGTAGAAGAATAGGCTACAACAGGAGCGTTTTGTGTTACCGATGATCCCGATGAAGCGGGACTTACACCTCCTGTTGAAGCGCTACTTCCTCCAACCTTAAGCACAAGCTTGATGCCCGATTTTGGGGGAGCCGACCCACTAGAGGCCGCCACCGGCTGGGGGCTTTGTTCCATTGGCATATCATCTACAAACCACCAAAAAAAATTGTTTTCTAATTTTAATTAATTTTTAGAAACAGGAATTTAGGTACATTCAGTTATATAGATTTGTATTAAACGACAGTAAATAAAAAAACATTTCATAGGCTTTATGGTAGTAAAACGCCAATAGTTAAGTGCGAAACAATACGCTTACGTTCGCCTTGTGCAACAGCTATGCAAGAGAATGATAACCTAGTAATTGACGTTAAAGACCGTTCTGATACTTCACAGTAACGTTGTAAACGGTAGGCCGCCGAATCTCGTAATATACAGGCAAGCGAAATCAGACCCCCTTTTGTCATAGTAAACCGAAAATATTTTTTACATAATTCGATCTGATCAAGTAATTGAGTTCTCAAAGATCAAAGTGATGATAAACACGTTGCTCAGACGATGATTCATGGCAGTTCAATCCTGTTTAACCGCCTCATTCATGGAATGGTTTCTCATTCATGGACTTTTTTTCTACCACGAAATTTATCAGAGACAAATTATTTGGTTGGAAGAAAAAAATAGTCTGAACTTTTCCAAAATAAATAGATTGCACTTCGGTGGGAAGGTAGCGTCGCTACCGTCGCCGCTGTTGTCATAACAGAACATTCATAAAGTGTAACTTTGCAAACACAAAGGCCGAAACGGCGATACCCCTCACATATACACCTTGCATAAAGCATATAAAGTTTGTTATTAGGAATATTCGTAATCAAGATACATCTGAGACGTATTTTTTATATTAAATTATTCTTGTATTCGCCAAGAAAATAAATTGTGACAGTACTATAAGCAGCCTATTTGTAGAGGTACTGAAATGCATTAAGTTCCTACAGAACTACCGTATCTTCAATAGTTAATACCTGATAAGTGAATGAACAAAATGGCTGAATTATCAAAGCCGGGGGAAGAAGTACCGTATTTTTACAATATTTCAACGATAGATACAGAATCAATAGACGCATATCAGTTAGCCTCAGTAACTGTTGGTTTCCATTTTTAATATCGATAGGTTACAAACTGAACAATATATATACATAGCCGTTGAACAGGTGCCCAAAAATTTCGTGGAGCAGACCGATATTAGCCAAAGAGACTTGTGTCGACAAAAATTTCCTTTCAGTTTAATAGAAACCTATAATTACCTCCGCAAATAATGAGAGTACAACTATTTGCTTCTGAAAAGGTAGTTTTTATTTTCTATCATTTCCGACCTCTTTATATATTGCCCGTATGGGCTTTGGTTAGTGACACAAAGGCGAACTGGTGCAGATAAAGCAACGACATTAATTCGGAGCACTTTCTTTTGTTAGCTATAACCAATGTTTTTCTTTTCGAAAAATATGTACGTCAGATCGAACACTCTCGCGGTCAGATGACCCACCCGATTTCATGATGGACTGTGACGCCTGTGTGCTTGTAGCTAAGCGCAAAGCACATTTCTGCTCGGCGTAAACGTATCATCGAGAATATATTACTATCCATATACATATCTCTCATTAGAAGACAATACAGATTATCAGATTTCAGTAGCATAGCTCAAGTCACTGATTAAAATAAGAAATAACTAAATGCAGCTACTCCAGTAACATGTCAATAGTTGAACGGGAAAAAAACTCTGTGAATAAGATCAATTGTAACAAACGGCTGGACAAGTAACAGAAGTCTAGCCATACACGAATACTGTTATTAATTATTGACATATAACGACGTAAATAAAAAAAAATCTATGTCAGACGAAATAGCCCATATTTGACAGACACAAGCAATATTTGTTTTTACTTATTAATGCCTTACTACGGAAGAATGAGTTAACACAGAATAGATAACAGAACGTTATTTCATTAAATCTATGTGTATCACAAATTAAATTCAACTTCGAATCACTAGACCAGAGAGGACATATCCGGAAAAAAACACTAATCCTAACTGGGCTTAGCCATATCGAACTCATCGCCTTTGGGCCGGCAAGCTAAACAACTTTTGTTAGATTGGAGAATAACGCAAAACAGAAAATATATCACATGTTCCTCAGGGCGGTCATCACCCATGCAATGAGTACCATTTCTTCTTTTTCTATCTAGCTTATTACATGGAGAGTAATTCCTTGAAAACACGAAATTTTTAGATCACACTGCCATTTCATTTCGAAATTATGACAGTTTATTTGCTAGAAGCTAACGGCAAACGAGTCGGCTAACTAGATTAAGCTTATTTGGAACGGCACAAAACCGCAATAATCTGGATATCTGGAGTTGATTCTTATTGCAGCGTTTACGTAAACCGTTCTGGCGTTGCCTCTGTATCGACATGCACACATCTTCCGTATACGTTATTCGAGTAGCGTTTGGCAGCAGATGCATGTGAGCTGAACCAACAATTCATGCATTGATGTCATAAAGAGATGCGCCGAACTACTAATGATTCACCGGAATATCCCCTTGATGTCATGGCCAGCAAGATTCGAAGGCTTTAAAAGACCTTTCGTTCTCTATATGATCTATTCATTCTCTGACAATCAGCTCTGGAAACCGTATGTAGCATTACGCAGTACACATAAGAGCCTCATAGGCTATTGAGCTGAAAATGGCGGGGAAAAGATACGACGTCTTTGATGGTCGACTGTAGACAATATAACAGTTTATTGAGGAGAGTTAATCTGCTAGATCAACAAGCAGATAATTGTTACTTTATCAAATTCTAGTAATTAGCGTAAAAGAAAAGAGGCAAGCTTTATTAATGATTCTCTTAATTCGCCTAGTGAAAACCAGGTTCGCTCTCGGAGCTCCATAAGTCGGAGCAACCAACTTATTCAAGTGGTTCGGTCTGCTCCACGATTTCAGCGACGCTTGTGGATGGAACGCAAGTTAGCACGGGAAGAGTGAAACAATACAAAAACGTACATAGATATAACAAAGTTCGTATACACGTCATTTTCGAAGTCCACAAACGCAACACCCTGACTTAGTAAATCATGCCGAGGCAACAGGTTAATTAGCCACTTCGTTGCTAAGAACTTACAAAACAAGAATCCACTCGTCGATCGATCTTTCCTTTGCGGAGCCAATCATAACCACGACAGTGTCACGCATGCTTTCGCAAATACAAATACAGCCTATATACGTATGAGATATTTTAAACATTTTAAATTCTGTACTCAGGCCTTCTTAGGTTAGGTTAGGTTTATATTATAATTATATAACGTATGTGGAGAGAGAGCCCTCACCAGAACAACAAAATGACACTTGTTTGACAATCTCTACGTGTTTATCTAAGGCATATGAACGAGCTTAACCAGTTAATAATCAGCTGTATGCAAGTTGCTTTGGGTTTATCTTCAACATAGAAGAACCGCAAATATGAAGTAACACTTCAGAAAGAAACACCAATTACGAAATATGATGACACTTGTCACATTTATTTCTCGTCGCCACCATGTATTCTAGTGAGGTAGGCGTACATTCCTCCCAAGCGATGCACAGATTCAGAAATTTTGAATCAAATAGAGACTATCCTACCTTAGGAAACGACTTTCTATGCCCAAGGCACGAAAAAAATGTTAAGGTATTCTGCGTTAGTAGCCATATTCACAGGAGTTTATCTGGGACAATCAGTGTCGTTGATGGTGAAAAAATTCGAAAAGGAAAATACGTGAAATGTCTAAAATGAATTGAACATTTCACAGTACAGTTTGCTCTCGAACGTTTTTAGTGTATGTGATTGCAACGCCCGAACGAAAACAAATCGCATTTTTCTACCGACTATCAATCCTACGCACATATACAATAGCCCTAACAGAAATTTTTTTTCTACAATGAACACCACACCACGGTTTCGATCAGACTCTGAATAAAAAATCAGTTTTTTTTTACAAAACCGCCGTCATCGTCACCATCATCACAATTTTCGCCTCAGCGCTCAAATGTCTCGCGGCGGTTCCGTGCATTCTGTGAGTGCCTCTGTGTTAGCCGTTCGGGGCGAGAGCGTATTGAGAAATCAAAGGTGTCTAAACTGCTTCACGCACACACACTGTACCTACACACAGCGGTCTTACAGTGCGCCACAATCCGGCGGAGTGCCAGCAGATGTCAAAAAGCCTTTCCACTTTCCATTTCAATTCGCCTCTGAAACAAGTACGAAACTATGTCGAGAATATAACAACAATGCTAAGCCTAACGCCTGTCGGCTTCCTATAGCGAGCAGTTGTTGGATTACACGAGACTGGTTAATATTGGCGCTGCCAATTTGCTCGGCCCCATTCAGACGGTCGATATGGCTAAAGCATTTATTAAAGTGGTTCACACGTAATACCGTCGAATACACCAGCAGATCCTACTCAATCATGTAAACGAATTCAAGCAAGTGGATAGCAAAAACTTAACCAAACACGACGAGCAGCTAACCTATGTGTTGTCGGCGCTGATACTTCTGGATAGCAGGGAGTTAAAAATTTTGTACATAACTATCATTGCTCGTTATTTGCCATTCACTTATCACTTCCACAGTGCCCTCCCGTACAGGTAATTTGTTCATGACGCTGAATCGTTCCATCAACGCACTAACCGAACGCTGCCGAAAGTTGGCGCTCACAGCAAGCCGTCGGTGTTGTCGTCGTCTCCGAATGTAGCAGATGTGGATCGTTCTCCCTTTCTGAACGCGGCCGGCCCTTGTTCTTGACAGGCGCCCCACGTTCGAGAGTTTTGTCCTGAGTTCACGCCGGCCACGAAGAAAGTTCAACACAACCTAATTAGTGGTACACGTTCGTACCGCAAATTATTGTCTCCGTTGTAATACGCGGATAATACGTGATAGCCAAGTGACAGTCAACATGCTTTTTTTTTTTTGATAATTTTCTTTCTCCTTTTGAGTAGATTTCGATGGTAGACCGCACAGCTATTTAGCAGATGAATATATTTACCTATTATTTATGAGAAATTTACGAATGAAAGCCTATAATTGTATTACAACGCAAGTTATTTTACTAAATAATTGTAAGTAAATAATTATAGTTTCGCATAGGTCACGCAGCAGCTTACACACGGAGCGATTTCGATGGAATACAGACGTGTGAGCATATCTAGAGGGGAACGACATTGCAGCGGAGCGTCAAACTTACCATCATCTCGCGATGTTTTTGAATGCTTTTTATGCTTCTTACTTCCCATCTCGTTGTGTCAATAAATAGTAAACGCAATCGTCGTCGTCGTCGTCGTCGTCGTCGTCGTCGTTGTTTCTAACGTGTCTCACTAACAGAGCCGCGAAAGTTGCGCGGTTTCGTCGTCGTTAACAGTATTTTGATATATACTTGCATTCACACGCACTTCTGTCACGAAAACACGATTGGTTAGACGCCAGTGATACGCCACTCGATGATATATATGTATACTTTATACGTATATATATATAGGCAGGCACGGATTCAATAAAGGTGGAAGATCTTTTTATGTTGGTCAAGTCATTCATCTGAACGTTAAAACTAAACTTGATCAGCAAGAAACCTTCGGCGTACGGACACAATTTGCGGCTTCATTTTTTCTGGAATGTATTGCTTATCAAACGACACATTTGTCCTTGTTTATTTCATCTCAAATCGAGCACTTGTCAGCCAGCGTATACAGAGTCAATAACAAGCGTATCGACGACAGTTGACATAAATAGCATCGACAGATCGTCCGCTCCCCAATCCGAACTTATTCAGTGAACTGATGATTTACTTTTGTTGTCATTCGCCCCTATCTTCCCACTGATCTTCGGCGCAGAAACAACAAATACACAAAGACACACACACACACACCCCGACCCGCCCACGCAGATATACAGTACAAACACAACGAGCACTGTCCGTCCCACAGTTGTTGTTTCAACTTCGAAATTAAGCGTTCAGCTGACCAAACAGCTGCTAATCAAAGTACCGCCTAATTTTGTCTTTCCTCACTGTCGTTCCTTTCTTCCATATATACATACAAACACATATATATGCATATAAATATGATACATATACCGACAGGAACGTTATCAGTTGTCGTAGTAACTGTAGGAGTCAGTCAATCAATCGGTCGGTTGGTTGGTCGTTCGACACAAACCAGTCGCCAGCAGCCAGTGTTGCCCGCCTGCTGTCGGTACAGGTCGATGCGGAACGAACAGCGCCAGGCAGCCGTCAGCAGATTAGACACCCCAGGATGAACTAACTGCTCGTTACACACATGGCCCAAGAAAATAGACGCATAATAATCGTATTGGCTGTTTTCTGTTTTGCTTTTTATTCTTCCTCGTTTTGTTAATTTAGGCCAGTACGCTTATTAGCACTGGCGATTACGACGCTCGCGTTTCGTGTTAGGCTGCTGTCTGGGTTTATTTGCTCGCTGTTTTGCTGTCGGTTACTCAGTCACTTAATCACCGCTGTTACTACAGCTACAGCCACCATTTCTGTAATTACTGCTGCTGTTATTGTTTCTAATGCCACAGCACCACCACTAAACGGAACACGACTGACGACGCTATCGGCCACTGCTTTTGCTGCTGCTGCAGCGGCGGCGGCGGCGGCGGCGGCGGCGGCGGCGGCGGTAGCGGCGACTACAGCAGCAGCAGCAACAACTCTCCAGCGATTCTTGATACGTCGTCGTCCGTCGCGAAATTCCTGTTGCCGCTGGCGACTTCTCATTACTCGATTGCTGCTGCAGTAACGGCACCAGCCAGCCAGCCCGTGGCGATCTAACTAGTCCGTCAGGCAGCAGCAGCAGCTTCACTTTGCGGCCTAGCTGTCTGCCTGTGATCCTTGTTCGCTGTCGAACGATCGCTGCTGCTGCTGCTACTACTGCCAACGCAGCGCGGCGCAGGAGTTGCAACAGTGATGTTGTGTGTATATAATATAGTGGTCGCAAAGGGGCTGCTGCTGCTGCCGCCGCCGTTGCCGCTCAGTTCTCCTCCGTAGTCGTCGTCATCGTCGCCGGGCAACAGCACAGCAGCGGTAATGGCGGGTCGAAACGACGGTGCGAACAGAACGACCACCAAGTCGCTGTACCCGCAGCCGCCCGTAGCAGCGGCGATCGTCGAGCCGCGATAAGTGGCGACCTGCCACTCACTCTCCCAGTTAGTCAACCTTCCGTCCGTCAGCTAGTCAGACAGGCAGCGAACCATCAAGCTGAACGACCGCTAAAACGAACGGCATTGAAGGAAAGAGTGAGCGCGGCGCCACATCAACGGTAGCAGCAGCGTTCGTTCGTGTCCGTTCTTTTTCGCCTGCACCTTCTACTGCGGCCGCTGGAACGATACGAGCTCGCCGTCGCCTCAGCGCGCTGCTGATGTCACAACAACGACAGCGACGACAATGGCGCCAGCCACGGACTCGGCTAAATAGCCGGCAGCGGACAAAAAGAAGTCGAGAGAGAGGGCGGAATGTCGCAACTGATCCGATGAGAATCCACGGCTAGCGGCTAACAGAACCGAGGTGAATAGGTAGACGGAGCGAGCAAAGAAACGACATACAGAGAGATAAACGCCGTTGCTGCGGCCGTACTTCCGCCAGCACACATCGCTACGATGCTGTTGTGAGTTTTTTTTTGATCATTGTAAGTTGTTGCTGTCGTCGGCCAGAGACGCAGCGGCTGCCATACGGCGTGGATTCACTGGCGGACAGCTGGTGAATACCACACACGCGTTAATTCCTACCACGTGTCTTCTGATCGGGAATGGTACTATAATAGCAACCTAACGTGTTGATGATCAACGGTAGACGGTAAAGCGACACGAATAAGCAGCAGACGACGGTTCGGCGACATGTACAAAAGAACGAGAGAAAAACTAAACAGTGGTTGCTATAGCAGACAGCAAACACAAATCACTGTTTGTGAAACTATGCTGATCTCTGAGAGCAGACGACTGAAAGAATCGGAAAGCAGTCAAAAAGACAAGCACACAGATTAGGAACACCGACCTAACAGATGAATGGATGGATGGATGGATGCATGTGACACGGAGAACGCTGGGTAAAAATATCGCTGAGGGAGGGCCAGGCGATCTCACGGTGTGAGAACAATAAGGGCGCGCAAATTCAAAATTGTTTTTAGTGAAAAAAAAATTTAGCATCATAAAAGCGGTAAAGCATCAACCACGAAAGAGAATAAATAATGCAATACTATACCCAGAGTGTTTGAAGATATTTGTCGTCCCTTAATACTATTAACCTAATTCAACGAATGTATAAAATAATAAAATATTACGTGTCGCCCAGGGCTATGGTCAGGCTTTTTCTGCTTTCAATGTTTGTCTTTATTGTTATAATTCAGTCGCGAATTGAGATTGGAAACAAGACTACAAAACAGAAAAGCTTACAAAGTTCAAACGACTTCTAACAATTATGTCCATTTGACTCCCCCAATATTATTTTATCAGTGTTTCTGTAACGCCTCTGTGCTTAATCTGTTTCCCCTCGAAAGCTTCGCTATTGAATTTCTGTCTTTAATCAAAAACCGTGGCAGAGATTTACTTAGAGCTATCATAAAGTTTTCTTTTTATTAAAGAGGGTTTTAGTAACGCTGTTTACGCACAATTGAGCACCATCAGAGCAATGTTTACTTAGCATGAACCAACAAGTATGGCGCTCGACTCCAACAGGCGGACTTTATCCCGCCAAGATCACCATCCACTAATTCTCAAGTCCTTTCTTATCTTAAACGTATCTGAGTCATTGGAATTACCAAGATAAGCTACCCCGGAGAACCTGTATTGCCCGTAAGATGTACAACAGACAAAAGAGGAAAATAGCGAAACTCGTCTGTTTCAGTCTGTCTATGTGAAAAGTTGCTTAAGCATGTATCAGTATTATGCCATTTTATATTGAGATTTGCAATAGCAGTGTTATGAAATCCTTAATCAGGTTATAAAATTGTATGTATATATTTTTTTTTCCAACCGTCAGTTTGGAGTGCCATACAAATTCGGCTTTGGAATCTCTTTCGAAGCAATACTGGAAGTAGTGAGCCAACTCTGACTCGTAGGCGCGCAATCTGCATATTCGTCCCCTCGGCTACATGTTGTTTACTCTTAACTCTAGAATGAATATATATTTTAACCTTAACATCGAGCTCAAAAGCATTATTGGTTAAATTCGCTGCAAAAACGTAGCTAAGAACAACGCACCACAGGGTTGCCAGCACGGAGTCTTCCCGACGAAGGTCGTTAACGAAAATGGTGGACGCACCCAACAAACGAATTCCGAGAGCAGACGGTTGAGCGAGTCACAGGTCCGATGGACCAATTTTTAATCTTGCAGAAGTAAAGTCTACAGAGTGGCCTAAATAGCAGCGGACGGTTCGGCTTGACTGAGCTGGCAAAGTTCCCCGTAGTGAATAAGCCAGCAGTTCTTGGAGCGTGGCTATGAGTGCGTCGCGCACCTAGAGCACTACCCGTTGTCTGTCATTACGGGTAAACCGCCAAGCCTTCACCTCACCTGTCGATCATCACAGATCACACCTGAACTTATCCACTACTTGATGACAACAACAGCTTGATTACACAACCGCTACCCGTTGGGTAATCAGCCAGCCACTTGACAATCGATACCGCCTAACAGACAGACGGAAAAATCGAGATACAATAATAGTATAATAGAGTATCGAATATATTTCTTCGAACGACTATCATTAGCGTACGTTAGTGCTGAACAGCATTCTGGCCTATTATACCTACATCGGTAAACAAGACGAGAAGCGACCTCGATTCTTCCATAATCCTCGTATCGAGTTTACGAGCGATCATTTTCCATACACTTTGCCGGTCGTCAATTTGGTGCGAACAACAACCAAAGAAACGATATGGTGCGCTGTTTACTGTCGTCTTCCCCTCTCCCCCTCTTCCTCGCTATCACTCTTTCTTGCCAGTGCCTTTAGCCAGCCCGCTTATGAGAGCATTGTTATTGTTATTATTGTCTTCTGCGTGTGCACGATACGACCGTCCTGTCCCGGTGCACGCTGTGATGGTCTCGTTTTCCCCCCCCTGTCTGTTTACCGAAGCAGCAGTACTCAGTGGCATTGGCGTAATGAGTAGGGGTACAAAATTGTAGCACCGATCATTGGGCAGTCGGTCGGATCAGAGTATCTGCTGTTATCGTTAAATCTCGCATTGCGTATGTGGCGGTTCGGAGTCCGCCGGCTGCGACACTAAATTCCTGGCCTGTGTCGCCTGTTGTTACGTGCGGCATCTCAGTCAGCCTCCCTGCAAAACTAACAGCAAGCGGCCGGTAAATTGGTTGCATTAGCAGTGGCAATTCAAGCCGCCTGGACAGGTCGGAGAGTCAAGCCATAGGTCGTTTCCCTAACACAACGTAATAAACGCCGACCACTCCAGTTAGGAATACGGGGTCGTTCAAGATCAGCTACTGCGGGTGACTGGTAGTGCAGCTCTCCGTAGTGTGTCGGACTCTTCGTGTTTGACGTTGTTATGATTATGTTACTATGATTACGATCATGTAGACAATGCGCGACGGTGGGATGTTCGAGCGTGTTTATTTATTTATCACCTGTGTGTATACAGGTGCTTATTGTGTAGGGAAAAACAGGACGAATAACACAAAGCAATTGAGAAATAATCGGCGGACTGAATAACGGGTTAATGAGCTGAGACTAATCGGAATCGTTAACGAGTGCGACGAGGTGGCGAAGCCCCGGTACGAGGTGCAGAGTAACCCTTAGTGCCCATGCAAATCCCGCGATACCGGAGACGACGACGACGACGACGACGACGACGACGACGACGACGACGACGACGACGACGACGACGACGGTCATTTTGCTAGCGGCAGTAGCGCGAATTTATTTCTTTCCAATGTCGCTAACAAGCAGCAGGAACAATGTGGATACAAGTGGTGTTAAACAGATCCTTCGCAAGTAGACTGCTTTCTTTGTCTCTGTAAACGATCCTGCTGGTTCCGGCGCATAATGCTGCTAAAATTGTTTACCTACATTTGGTTTTAGGTTTACAGTTGACGCCATTATTATTATTATTATTATTATTATTGATGATGATAACTGATAGCACCAGTTTAAGTGTCTTTCCATTCCAAGACACACGACAAGGGAAGGCTACTTCTAATCGATCCGTCGTAAAGATCGATTCATTTCACTTTTTTATCTCAGTTCTTTCTGCGGTTGTCGGTCAGTGTCTATGCTCACCATCAGTCGGCGAATTTTGTGCTCGTACTTCGACTTCGGATCAGATCGATATGCTTCGAGCCCATGTTTGTTATGCGTGTGTATTGGGTTATCATAATCGTTCCGCGAATAGGTTGTGGTTAGTCAACTAATGAATGCACGAAAAGCTCAATAATAACAGTATTACTACTAATCGTTGTGGATCAGTGCGCAATTAAATCGCATAATTTTGCAGCATTTTCACAAGGTACGTGTTGTCGACGCTGCGGTACGTGGCTGTAAGCGGATACAGTGTCATAATATTGTCGCTTTTCCGGTTGAGCCTAAAGCGGATCAGCTGATCGGCTTGATGTAGTACGCGAATGGAAGCGGCGGCTAGGTAAATAGCTAACTACTGCAAAACGGGCCAAAGATATCGTTGGGAGGCACAATGTTAGTACTAGCGGCGACGAAAAAGGTAGCTCAAAAGTGTTCGACAAATCGAGAAGAGTCGACCACATGAAATATGAATGCATCTGATAGGGCAGCTAAACTAGTTGGATGATTGAAGACGGGGCGTGCGCTGTCATTAGTACAAAACAACAACTGGTAGCGTCTAGTCGATTGCCGGGCTGCACCAGGAAGTCAAATTGTACCGAGTACGTATGAATTGAAGCTACCCTTCTAGTCATAAAGTCCCGGGGCGCATAGATTTCATGTTTGAGTCCTGTTTAGCAACAGCAGGCAAATGGCCTCTCGTTGAGGTGCTTTGTTTCCTAAGGCGGAGTTGCTATCGTTAATGACAGCAGAGTATAGCTTCTACCTGTATCGGCGCTGACTACAATAAGAATAGCCGACAACTTTTCAACTGGGGGGAGGGGATGATTCTACCTAAGAAATTGCCCCATTTGTACCTCCGCCATCTCCACTACTGTTGCTACTGTTGTGTGTATAGTCGGAAAAACTTTCCTTTGTTTACAATTCGGACATCTTCAACGTTTAGGAGCCTGTAAATAAAATAAATGGTCCAGACGGTGATAATCATCCTAGACCTCTTACTTTTTTCTACGTAACGACTTGTTCAGAAGACAATAAGATTATCTATTGAACTGAAACCGACGAGTACTAAAACAACAACTGTCTATTCAAGGCATACCAGACGAGCTTGGTGGTTCTTAACAAATAATTAGGTGTCACGTATCTTATTCGAGCCTACTTAGAAGCTTGTATAAGATACCTACTGAACCTATCGAATGAACTCTACAGTAATCAAAGGGGAGTTTCGTATATCGATAAATGCCTAGGGGTGGTGCTAGCAAGACTTTTCAACAACAAACTTATCTACCTAACGAGTCATTAGGATTTCATAACGTCTCATGGGGGTTATTCCTATTAACTGTTTGCGTTCGACGAATCCTTGGGTGATTGAATGAACACTTGGTGCTCACACACCTCTATAATAATAATTCATAATCATATTAAGCTGCCATTGCACAGCAGTCTTCTGCCGTAGCAGCAAGTGACATCTTGAGTAGAACATTGAATCTTTCGAAGTGTGCATTTTATTTCTATTCAATTTCTCCGTTTTATTATGCAACAATCGCTTTGTTTCCGGATCAGTTACTGCGGCACCCGCTGTACGTGGCCATCGAACGACCTGCAAACAGATACAACCATTTCTTGGGTTAGTTTTCCTACTGCGTGTTGATCATACAGGTACCACCACCTTGTGGTAGTCTCTCTCGCTGTCCGTGTTTTTCCGTCGGGTTCATCCCAGTTTATCGTTGAGTTAGTTGATTCGTGGCTGTTTCGAACATTCTTTTTATTAATAAGTGATTTAAGATTTAAGTGCAACCATCGATCGATCGATACTGCGGAATCGCGTATGAAAAGGTCACAGTTGTACATGGTATTCAGCTAATACAATATTCAAGACTACCCAGTACTACCTTCTCGCTCTCCGCATATATCATATGTATATAAAGCGCTCAAGGATAACAGCCCGTCCTGAAATGTAAGTAGCGGTTACAGCCCACCTACAGCGTGCGCGGTATCAATCGTTGTTGCTGATGCGGCAACGGGCAAAGGCCGTCGACACCATCACTCATCGAGAGAGAGAGAGAGAGAGAGAAAGAGAGACAATCATATTTTGAAAGCAATCATCAGTTTTACATTCTTTTCCGCGTCATTCGCAATTGGTTTCATCTGCTAATGCCGTCGGTTGATTTCCTATACCTCGAGTATTCTACAACGTTTGCAACGAGAATGAACATTGTAGCCAGTACAGCTTTTTGATTCTCTGTTAGTTTGTAAGTTTGGCAATTTTTACGTTCGCGCACTCGTTTCGACCGCTTTGGCCTTCGCGCCAGAAAGTAGTTGCTGCTCATGGTTAGAACTAAACAGAACTTCGGTTGCGCGAAAAGTTTTCCGTTGCCTTTTCTTTGCTGGGACAGGTGAACCGGCATTGTTCCACAAATCTACATATGTACACAGGGAGCTGAAATGGCAGTGTCTATAGATAGTTTATAGTGTCTAGGGCTATGCCGCTGTAGCTGTACCTAGCAGAGTTCGTCAGCGCTGCTAGAGATTGCTGACCTCTCTGTCGTTATCGTCTTTACTATTTACAACAGGCAGATACAGAGAGTTCCATTGTGTAAGCCAATTGTGCCAACGTCTGAATCGCTAGTAAGCCCTCATCACTGACAAGATTTCGCTATGTCTGGACAACGGGGAAAACAGCCGACCATACAGCCTGAGGATGACAAGGACGGGTTCCCGTCATTGCGTAAAACGCCCCTAAACCCGAATGCATTCAGTGTGCCGTTATTTCCAAATGTGCCGCTAAGTAGTGGGATGAACTCGCGGCTGCATTATCCGGTGCCGGACATGTTAAGCGATATTTCACCGCCATTCCATGCTGGGTCGCAAGCCCCGGGTTCGCCGAGTATTCAGAAACCCGATTACGAACTGCCATTGACAATTGCTGGTATTGAGAAGCAAAACGTGAAATGGATGGGTCTTGACGTCGGAGGCTCTCTAGCAAAGGTCGCTTATTTTGCGCAACCGCCCGTGAAAAAGCCAGATTACCTCCAACAGAGATATCTTGACAGCACCTTAAATCAACTTCATCTGGCTAAGTTCGATTCAAGTAAACTCGACGAATGCTTAAAGTTTATCAGGTGAGTAAATTTTACTGGTTTGCTTCAGCGAGCAAAGTAACTAATAGTGTGTTATCATACAAATGTAGCTACATGTAAATATAAGCCAAGTCAAAAAGGTTTTCAAGTCTGAGCTTTTAGTCATTCTAAACTTTCCTTTATAGCACATATTGGGCAGTAGAATTGAATGAAACAATACATAAAAGTCGTAAAGGAACCTTTTTGTTACTTGTATTATTAGACCGCAGAACACAGGCAGAAACGTTGCATCAACGCGTCTTTCTGTCCTGAAGCCCAGCTGCTTGACTTCTCCTTAAGCAGAACTTAATTTGTATTACAAGTGGTTTTTGCGGGATGTTAAGGACCGTAACGAACGGTTGGTATACATATATATATACGTATATAAATATATGGTCTATGCTATACTCAACGGAAGCTTGAAGACTGTAGCTTATTGCGGTAGACAATGCGGTCATTTAGCGTCGTTGCCCTGATACGTCAAATATCAGAATCAATCTAAGGTACAAAAATGTGACGAAGCATTTCAGTCTTTGATTTATTTGTTCGTGTGGTCTATATGTAACTGCGCGAAATTTCTACGATCAGATATCAGTCAGATTAAGACTGTTGTAATTACCTGTACTATCCAAAATTAGTACGGATAGCTGCGACTTTGTTCTTCTTTTTCTGACATTGCGCTAATTTCGTTTAAAGTCTGTAGGTTTCTCGTATAGCAGTTTGTAACATTTATAGCATCAATATGGGTTACAACTACATTATCGTGTCTTCTTTGAATTTTTCTAAAATAGCAGTAAATGTATGTCTATTACTTCCACATGTGCAACATCAGCGCCCAATGGATTTCTATGATCCTAAATCTTGGTTTATCTATCTTTTTACAGCTATAGCATGGCCCACGTAATAGGTGATATGATGTAAATATTATGATATCATTGTAAGGAATATTATCCATTGGAAAGTGCGGCTAATCGATACTCAACGAATATGTATTACAACCGGCGTTTCGAAATTACAGTAGAATACCTTTGTGGTGTTGTTATAATTAAATGACGTTGACATGCCCACATGTCGTAAGCGCTGAGCGCTGCTCCAACCTCCCAAGTATTTTGGGAATTCTGGGATGTGAAAAGGGCAGCAGATCCTAACAGAAGGTTAAGAGAAGCTAACAATGAGATACTATTAGGTAGGATTGCAAGAGATACGCTCGAAGCAGACCCTCATTGACTTATTCTGGTAGTTGTATGTCGGTTAGTCATTCTGTTATCTCGGTTGACCTTTGTAGGTCGATGGAAATTGTGTAACTAGGAAAACAGCTCGTTAAGACGTTCAGCGAGAGTAAAAACCCAGACACGAGTTTCCCGTGTTACTATGATTCGTCTCAGCTCAGCTCAGCTCATCTCATTAATTGTAGACTAAATTCAGATGTTACGAACTTCCTAAAATAATGTAGCAAAATTTCTTAAACGTTAAGTTATTATGGGCATAACGCGAAGAGATCTAGCAGCTTAGGCAGCAATGTTACAGGTTATGAAAGTCAAATCCAAATATATACTTGGTAAAGGTGCTCGTGCATAACTGTCTACATTGTTTTAAGTTAATGATCATTCGATGCAAGTAGGCCAATTAAATGTACCGATCAACTCTCTACTTTGTTGCAAACAAATAAACTAAGGTCTTGGAGTTTTATTAAACGCGGAATTATATTTTTTGAATGAAGGTCCGCAAAAATTGATACCTTAGGTCTGACTTTTTGTATAAACTCAAGCGACTTAAATTCACACAGCGGTCGTGTGTCTGCGGTTCATTTTTTCTGCCGATTCCCGAGTTGTTTGTCGACCGTCTTTCTTCGGAAGTACCTTCAGGTAGCTGTCATCAAACCCAAACGGCCAGTTAGAGCGGTGGTATCGATACCATTTTCCAACTTGGAAAACCACTCTTGAGTAGTTTTTTTAGCGTCCAAGAGCCAAGTGCCCCGAGCTACTTCGCGTCAGCGAAATACATAGTATAATAGACTTTGAAAATGCACTTTGCCGCACCTAAAACATTCATTATTCAGAGTTAAAATCGCACTTAGCAAAAAGCCGTCACAGCTCACTGATAGCGTTTTTGGACCGTCTATCATAAGTAGACACCGAGTGATAGGTAGTGGGGAAGGGTAGGTTTTTAAAGCGTATAAACTTTTGTTTAATCTAATGTAGTGCTCTTCGATTTTATTTAGTGGGTCGAAAAGTGAATAAGCTCGAAAAATAATAAATATTCATCGCGAGTAGACGGAATTTGTTATTTTTATCGAACCTCTTACCATTTAATTGTAAGTTGATTAAGTATAATCGGAAAATAATAAAATCAAAAGATAATGTATATCGCGTGAAATTAATGCTTGGTGATAAAATTTCTGTTCATCGAAGACGAGAACCCGGATGGCCTCGATCGAGGACTGCTGAAAATACTAAGTCGAAGACCTGTAGCGAACCATCAGATACAATAATTTTAAGAACAGAAACTGAGTGGTTAAGGATTATAAAAGAGGTAACGAAACCTCAGGACTTCAAACCAGAGAATAAGCTACTGCGACCACTGAAGGTTTTGGACAAAATATAATAAGCTCCCTATCAGCTCATTATGATGTTTCTGGGGAGGCGTGTTATAAAATGTAGCGGAAGTATATAAGATGAAAAAGGGAATTTTTTTTCCCATGAACCGAGTCCAGAAGAGATGAAAACACGTATAGTGCAGTTTAAAGATAATTTGTAGAACAATAACCAACACAAAGTACATCGTCTCCAAAGATGAGACACCGACAAGTCTTTGTCGCCTACCACAAAAAAGCAGCCTACAGAATGGTGTCAGACAAAGAGAAACATCTGTCTAACATGTAATAAGGCATTTTTGCTCTATCTCGTGCGCCTTGGATGTTGAGTTCCCGCCGTACTGTTCAGTACCCTAGGACAATCTGATATGATAGATACATTCGTATATATCCACCATAACTATGATACATAATAACAATTTCGTGCAAAATGCTTGTTTTGGTGGCTTCTGTTAGGATAAATATAGTAATAGATATTATCATTAAAAAAAATCGACAGTGTAGAAGTTAATGTACAATCATGTGCTATATTCTGTATAAGCGACGAAACGATCTTGATTTTGTAGTGTGGGGCAAACCATGCAAATAGACGCAAAACGTAACATGAGTTTCTTTTGTGCAATTTCAGACGAAAAGGCCTGTCAGAAATACATGCGACCGGCGGAGGTTCAATCGTGAACAAAGATAGAATGAAACAAGTGCTCACACGAACCTGTAAGCTTGTGCTCGAGGACGAAGTTAAATGCGTTGTAAAAGGGGCAAACTTTCTTCTAAAAAAAGTACCAAACGAGGTAAATTGTATATATGTTTGGTGTTACTAAAAAATGTTCTTTTACTTTCTTTTTTAAAGATAGATGAAGAAAGAAAGAAGATAATACTGACTGTTCTTAAGTTTACTGTGTGTCACAATTTTTGAGTTCTCGACTTAGGTCGATTGGGTTTTGCTTATTAAAGTAGCCAAAACGGTTTGAATTCTTCCGTTAAATCCTATCAAGTTCATCTTGAATCTTCGAGTAAGTCCTAACACCAACTTGGTGTGCATTATCTCGTGATAACTATGGGACGTTTCCGAAATACAAGTGTATGAAAATTTATTTCATTTTGCTTTTATAAATTGCTTATCTTTTTTTTATGACACCATATACGAATAATCCGTACATTTAAGCTATCGCTTCTCGTGATGAACGCAGTAGGTTGTAGTAATCTGTTAGTTTATATTGACTTGTTGAAAAAGTATTAACCGTTTTGAGGCGAAACTGAAGTAAATATTTTTCGTATATCTAAAAATAAAATTATCGAACCAAATTATGCGCCATTCTGATTGGTAACCTCCTGCCATTTTTCTGATAACGCTATAATCCCGTCACAGTGGAGCTTAGGTAGCCTTACTTCATTAATTAGGTGATTTTTGCATTTCTACACTGAAACTAAGTTAACCCTATCAAGGCAGTTTTGCAGTGATCGAAACAGAGCACAACTTGATAGTACAAAACCCGGGCTGTATGGGGAATACATTTTCCACGCAGGTTCTTTGAATTTTTACTGGGTAGCTCAGTTTGTCCTGGTGGAAGACGACGCTTTATCTCTTTACTAGTTTCGGTTGATTTTTTCAAGGACTTGTTAACTGTAGGCAGTGGAGGTCGTCTCGCAACAACAACTCGTAATTCCTTTCCAGCTTTACTAAATACGTCATCACTACTTTCTTTAGCACCAGCCTGGACTTACTGTCGTTGATTAGTGCACGTTTTTTTACGTTTTTTTATTTGCGCATTCTTGTCGTATGTAATCCGTTTGTCATCACACGTAATCAACCGCTTTAGAAATGGCTAGATTTCATTGCGCTTCTGTAGAGTTTCGCAGATGAAGATAGCATCAAGTAAATTATTTTGTCAATTGGTGCTGCGCCAAACATCGAGGTTCTTTTGTAGCCAATTCTCTTTAAATTGTTTGAAACCGTTTGGTGGTGGATGCTTAGTCGTTCGCTGATGTCATGGCTACTCATACGGCCGTTCTACATCGCCCACATCAAAATTTCCAGAATAAAAAGCACAGAGCAATCTTTTTGCCATTCGTTTCCGTACCGCATATTCACTAGAGGGAGCCCACATTTTTTTATGGACTTGGGTGGCATTTGTGTCTTGATCGTAATATAGGGAGTTTTTGTAGAATTGTCACTTATCTCCTCTATCATAAGCCTAAGTAAAGGCATTCCAACAATTCTTGGTGAGTCCACTAATGCTTAAGCTCAGCTTCCAAGGGACACCAACGCCGAGCAAAGCGATTCATATTATCTGAGATGCTATTCAATGCCATTTAGCTAGAAGAATGGTTAATACTTTTTTTTTTTTTATCAACCCGATATTATTACACTTGGAATGTCAGGATACATTTGAAGTATTTTACATTCTTGGTATATCCGATTTGTTTTGAATCTAAGTGCAATCTATAGGTAGGTATCGGGATTGCTCGAATTAGTTAATTATTGTAGCTGTTTTAACTTACTGTCAACATCATCAGATTTTGAATGGCTACCATATACAATTTCTTCTAGTCTATCCAGCGTTATGCGAGTTTATTCAATAAACACGGTATAATCAGTGCGCATGATTTCCATCTTTTATGTATTTGCAGGTATTCAAAAAGTCGACCGATTCGGAAAGTCAACGTTGCACTGCAGAAAATAGCTTGGATTGCGTGTTTCCAATAAATGAACCAACGTGCGACCCATTTCCTTATCTACTTGTACATATTGCGTCCGGTGTCTCCGTTGTAAAGGTACTCTTCATCGAGAAATTTTAGAGAGCAGTTGTCATTTTAACTACGTTTATCCATATATTTATCAAAAGAGTTTTTGCATTTGTGTAGGCATTGAACACGTTGCTATCGGGGTTGACATTATATTTATACTATTACATTATATAAGAAAATATTTTAATAATCCTTTCGTTGAATTTTGCGTTTTGCGTTCGCAGGTCGAGTCAGAGACCCAGTTCGAGCGAGTGGGGAGTTCTACGCTGGGCGGTTCGTCATTCTGGGGTTTAGGGTCGTTATTGACTGGAGCAGAGGATTTTGGTGAGTTGTGTGGCCTAGTTGAAGCGGATCAACGTATAGGGACAACGTACAACATTGAACGAATCTATGGAAGTGACCACAAGAATATCTCAAGTTCATTGGAGCGTTCCCCAGGAAGTACTCCGAAATTTACCCACCTCGTTCCGAATGCGGAGGGCGCTCCACAGGCAACACAAATACCAACTTCAGTTAAACCGGACACGTGTGGCGATGACCTAAAGCTCGAGGATAACGTTTCTCGCAGTGAACTGGCCATGTCACTTTTGCGTATGATTTCCAGCGATATCGCTCAGTTGGCAAGTCTGTACGCGTTGTCGCAAGAGATCAAACGGGTCTATTTTACTGGTTATTTTTTGCGTTCCCGGCCAATGTCTATACATCTGCTTCGAAGTGCTCTTCACTATTGGTCAAAAGAGCAGGTTGAACCACATTTTTTCCGGCACGAAGGTTATTTAGGAGCGATTGGAGCACTTAGTGCTTGTGTGGACGCTGATGCTGATACCGATGAGCAGAAACACTTTCACATGGCTTCCTGGGAAGAGAACTATGCTTGCAGTGCATTGCCAGACGAACCGCTCGGAGTGCAAAGTCATGTTGCATTCGACCGAATCGACTGTGCTCTGGTGAGTTTCATTATCAATGTTGAGACCTGTAGGGAAATTTAATTCCCTACAGTTCTCAGTTCATGTCCTAGTGTCCCAAAGACGATGACATTTGGACAGGAAACAAAATTATACCAGTGGATGCTACCGCGGAACGTAAAATCCTTATCCAGACAGAAGTTGACGCCAACGAAATGAATATCAGTAGTTAATATACAAGTTGTGCCTTTGTGGACGGTAATCATGTTCTAAAAAGTGGTTCATTTTTTTTCGAAAAAATATTCGGCGAAATACAATAGCAGCAGCGACTTTCTTTATCCCGATTTGTTAATATAATTTAATAACTAATACACTGAGCTCGATCAAAACAAGTGTGTCTTTATGTATGATTCTGAAATACAAACATATCGTTACATACCAAATGTATCTGACACCTTATTCGTTTGTTTTGGATTTTTCTCTTTTTAGAGGTCCTAATCCTTTAATTTTTCAACGTTCAATTCACAGCTGGAATGTACCTTCGCGTGCAGCAAGCCTATTTTACACTGAACAAAAAATGTAAATCTCTTCCTCTCAGATCATTTATAATAACTTAGTTTTCTCTGTATGAGTGACCCGTCTTCAGTTTTTTCATCATTGTTTCTTGATACAGGATACAGAACCAATCTTTTCAGATTCAGAATCAGAACCAAACGAACTTCCAAAATAACAACAAGCGTTCCAGGTAATTTAACCGGAGCGATGAAAACGATTTTCAGGTGATTTGTCCGTTGTTGGCGACCCCCGATATTTATGTTCCGGATAGAGAGGACTTGGTGGAAAATGGTCAGGCTCGCGAGTACTGGTTGACCACACTGTGGAAAAGTATGGATAGTGTTTGTGCGAAAGCAGCCAGAAGTTGGCCCGACATGCCACACGTGACCACCAAGTCTAATGTAGCGATGCTTCGATACCGACAAATAATTGAGTACCTGTGGCAACATCCCTCGTATGTTATTAGCACACGACTCTGTTTATGTATATTAAAGGACAAAATTAAATAAAAAAACTTTCTATATCTTCTTGAAGCCGTTGCGTATATAAGAAGATCTTATAGAGCTTGTGCCAATTACTTTGTTTAGTTATAGGTGTCAGAAGATTTAATATAGAGAAAGTTCTCTTTCTCTTTAACAGTAACATCTTTCAATATGTTAGATTTTCTTCATATATCATAATTCTTAGACAAAATTGGCTTTTCGAACATTGCATAAGCAGCGTTCTTTATCTGGTTTATTGTTATTTCTCTAATTGATGATGATCTTTTCAGCACTTTCGGACCTCTGTCGGTACGTAGCCTTCTCGACATGCGAGAGCAGTGTTTAGTCCAGTGTGGATTCGTGGATCCGTTTATGAAAGAAAAAAAACAAGAAGTTACGGAAGCGTTGAGCCTATTGTCAACATTGGTACGAGGGCTTGATAATCAAGATGTGGAAGAGCGATGGAACAATTTGACTCTCGGAATTCTGCAAGGTAGTCAGGTCGTCAGAAGCTCGTTATAATTTGTATGAACTTAATGTGAAGTGGCTTGGATTCATATACGTAAATGTTGAGTTCTAATCTTTGATTGGACGCCTGATACGATGGTACTGCAGTTACAGGCATACAGCTTGAAATATGTATCATACATTGATATTTAATAATTTAGCAAAGTTGTAGATGTGCATCAGTACAATACGGCCGTGTATACTCCGCCGTGTGCGCGTTTAAATAGTACTGCGATAAGTTCGATAAACTCACATTGCAAGTGCATTGTTTTCATTTTTCCGAATACTTTGCCTCCAAGTAGGAAACGTTTTCGACTATGGAGCACAAGCTGTTGTCAATGAGCGGCGGGAGGCTCAAGAGCAGAATATTCACTTCGGGTTTGCCAACGTTCGCGACAGAATACAAATGGCGAAATGTGTTCAGGGAAGCCGAGCTGCTTGGATATCCCGAATGAAAGACAATGCTGCTCCGCCCTATCGACGAGTCGCTATCTTCATTGATAACTGTGGATTCGACCTTGTACTTGGTACAAGTTAGCCCAATCTTGCACGAACCAGATGATGACTCTCCTTTTTGAAAGTTAAATTAAAAAAACAAGTTTATTTTAACTCAGAAAAAAGGACAGATTGTTAAAAACAAAAACAGGACAGGAAAAAAAACGTTTCCTGTACTATCTCTTATCAAAAGGAAGCACGTTGCTCTGAGCTTCGGTATTTCTTTATTATTAAATAGCCAATTATGGAAATGGAAAGCATAATAGACTTGTTTTATGAGTAACTAAATACCTGCTCTACATTTCTCTGTTTGTTGCTGTCGTTAAAATCAACATAAATTCGTTCAAAAGAAAAGATATTCGTTAGTTAAAACTACCTGTTTTCCGCTTCTTGACCACTTCTGCAGGGGTAATACCGTTCGCACGTGAACTGCTGAAATGCCAACAGACCTCAGTGATACTTTGTGCCAATTCACGACCTGCTCTTAACGACGTCACCATTGAAGAGCTGAAAATCATCTCGCCCCAAATAGCTGTGGTGGATCAGTTGTGGCGACAAGCCGTGGAAGAGGGACGGGTCGAACTCGTCGATTCTGGTCAGGGCTCGCCGTGTTTAGATCTCACACGGATTAACAGGTTAATCATATGCTTGTTTTATACGTACACCCAACAACGTATGCACTGACTTGTAGCGCTTTCTGAAATGTCACATTATCTGTAATTCACTTTGTGTATTACATTTTACTTTGAAATTAGATTTTTCATTAACAAAGGTTGTATAATATGTGTCGTTTAGGGAATATTTAATTGATTGTTTCAAAATGCTCATAATGATCAGTATGGTGGACTGTGTGTCTTGCTGATGCTAAGTCATTTTTAAAAAAATTATCATTGGAAACGCTTTATTAGATAAGCACTCTTGGGTTTCTACCTCATGTAATTAATTTATGCCGCTAACGTAGTAACGTCAACCTGATACGCTTAAAGAGGAAAATTAAAGAAAGTTTTTCGCGCTATTGGCTATATAGGTCCTGTAAACAAAAAAAAAAAAATTAGTTTTTTCTGAGTCGGTTTTAATTTCCTTGTATTTGATATTTTTCATGTTCGTTAACATCCGTGTATTAGCTATACTGCTGAAACGCTGGCCGATTGTGACCTGCTCATCATCGAAGGCATGGGTCGCGCAATACATACTAACTATCTACTTAGTGACGCCTACGAGAAACGTACCTCAGAGTATCTGAGGATGCGGACGGATTTCACATGCGATTCAATACGCGCTGCTGTGTTGAAGACACCTTTCGTGGCTGAAAGCCTCGGTGGTCGAATATATGACTATGTTTTCTATTTTACCGAGGGCCAAGTACGAAGCAAAGAGGACACTGAAGTTAAGCGCAGCACTAGATAAGCGTTTTTACCTGTGTACTATTGACACTTCCCTTTTAATGGACACTTATAAAAAAAAACCTAATGCCCTTCAGTCGCCTGAAGCAAAGACGATGTCGCTAGATGAGCTCATCTGTAACCGTAAAGAGCACGAAGAAGCTGAGGCTGAAGGGCAATACAAGTAGTAAAAACAGAAGCTTCTGTGAATCGCTTCGGCAGTGCAAGCAGTGCAAATGTACATATAAGGATTAATGACATGTGAAATGCGTTAAACAAGTCCATACGAAACAGTACACGTGACAATAAGATTCTGTGGGGTAACAGCAAAAAATGGCATTTGACGTTGAAGACAATACAGAACGTGCATGATAAACAGAGGGCGCCGTCGAGTACATAAATACCTAATAAGTAGTTAATGAGGGTAATTCATTAACAATCACTAAAACTGGAGCAAGGTCTTGGCGGGGCTGTGATCCTGGTTGTAGTCTTGAGGGCAATGAGGAGTAAGCTTATACGAAAAGACTGGCTGTTATCGCTCGGAGAAAAGTGTATATATATGATCGTAATGTTGAAGTGCACAGTGGGCAAAAGATAACGGATGAATTTATTGGGATGAAAACGAGGAGATAATCGTAGTGCTTTATAGGCATACATGAAAAGAAGCAATTGTATAAAAAATAAAACAAAAAGATGGTGATTAACAGAATATAAACTAATGATAATATATTGTTGACTCTATGCTAAAAATAAAATGGCGTATTTTTATTTATTTGAATTAGAGAAATTTTCAAGCGTTTAAAATTGCTTAGCATGTACATCGTATGCTATTACAAAAAAAAAAAGAAATACAATTTGGATTATTGATATATGGCATATAAATATATAGAAATCTCTGTGTTAGACAACAATAATCTATGAAGGCTTCGAAACAAAAAGATGACCCGCAAACCTTGAAGTTCTATTGGTCTCTAGAATAAACTCATGTGGGAATCAATTAACGCATATTTGCCTGGAGCTGGTCTGCATAAAAAATTCACATGTGGCTACAGTATGCTATTGTTTATTTTAGCATTAGAATAGCTTTCTTGAAAGTAATAGGGTGTTGATGTATTTAGGGAGACTAGAAAATACGTAGTGAAACGCAGATAGCACTGGCTAATTAAATTAATAATTACACGTCAGGTACCAGTAATAATTCTATGGGTGTTGACTTTAAACGCAACGTAAGTATTAAGCATATATATATATATATATATATATATGCTTTTGCATGTAAAACGTTCTACTTTATTTGTTTGTATCTGTCCTATGTTCAACTTCAATTAAATATAGTCTTTAAGAACACAAAAGGGTTCACGGAACTGAACGCAACTTTGAGAGTCACGTAACGGGTTACATAATCATCCAATCGCAGAAATTACTAGAGTAATAAATCAGTTGGCACCAATAATCTTAAGAGACGTATCTTGGGTATATCCCTGTGATGTATTCCAAATCAGCCCTTCATACCCAAAACCCTGGGCAGAAGAGAAAACGATAATTTTTTCGCGAACCGCTGTGGATGGCTGCAGAGTTTTAGAAAAAGCTTAACAACACAGTTAATGACAATAATGCTGTGAAGAACGAACGAATGAATTTTTTGACGTTATCTAATCCAAATTATCCTCTATACCCGTTGTGCTAAGAATGGCACACTTGTATAACCTCGCGCTGCTTTACATCGCACGTTCTCTGCATAATAACGTTACATTCAAATCTTCACAATTTCGAGATGTGCGTTTAAAACAGCGTAAGGTGCCCAAATGTGTCGTGCCTGCGTCAAACACGCCCGGTTCATACTAATGAGACCAATTGTTCGCAGTCATTTATCCTGGCTCTGGCCTTTTTCTGCGCTAAAGCGTGTAGCATAGTTCTTGGAGACGGTTTATATTTCGATTCGAATTTATTCATACAATAACTTTTCTATTACATTGCTTGTATGTTACATCTTCTTTTGAAATGGTTGGAAGCCAGCAGGAATTGTCATTTGGGACTCCGTCAACGACATACACTATACGACAAGGGTAGTGACAACAACTACCAGAGACATTTTGGAGTGCAACCGACATCGGCCTCTTTATCATCCCTAATCTATATCATTAGAGCGGCATTAGCGGTAGAAACCTTAAAATAGGATTTGGGCCGATACAAACCTCAATAGGTTGTTGGCTAATATGGCATAGACATAGATTCCCGTCGACTCAGTCTGTCTATCTATTAATGAATCGACCCTTAGAGATACGTTTCGAAAATGTTATATCGCACCATATTTGTGCTTAATTAACTAGTATGGTGGCCACTTGACCTTAAGGATGTCGAAGCGAAACAGGCTGAAAGCTGTTAGGTTAGGTTAGCTGTTAGGTTAGGTTCTATCTATCTATTTATCTATCTATCTAGCTTGCCAGTATTTGGCAAAATATTTAACTGGGTTTTAGCAGTTTTTGTGCGTCTAGAAGAACTCTACCTCTGACGTGTTAGCATCGGCTTACCAGCACCATTTGTAAGCCTATGGTAAAGCTAATGATTTATTTAAAAAGTTTCGTATTGTACTACACAGACTATAGACCGCATAAGTGATTGCGAAAACTGCTGCTGTAGAAAACAGAAGGCTTCATGAAACTTCGTTGAACCGAGTTACGCCCTGTAAAATTAAAGACCGTCTGTAGTTAACCGCTCACCATCTTTAATTTAATAGGGATGGAGTTTTTGTTCGCCCTAAACACGATTCTCATGCGACGCAGGAATTGTCTTTCTTTGATTTGTCGATTTGGTCGTAGCAATGTAGAAGAGACCTGCTCCCTTTCACCCGTGTACACTCCCCCTTTTCAAGTGAAAGTTATTAATGAAGACGCACACCCTCACTATGGTGGTTGAAAACCGCCATCGCGAAATACCCGCGTCACAGAGAGAAGGCTTATGCTACCGGCCCCTTACCCTCGTCTATGATGGACCAACAATGAGAGGTCTGTCTAATAAACTTGGCTACACGTGGCGGTCTTAGTCCGAAACCGGCCGTACACACATATTGTTTCTTTTTTAAGTGAATTATTTAAAGCAATGCTTTACGGCAGTAACAGCGAAAGTAATACTTTAGACATTTAGCGAAATGGAAGATACGATTTTCTCCAATGTTAAACGACGCGCGGCGAAACGGCAAAAGTTCTAAATCTAAAAAATTCAACCCTCAAAGGGTATCCTAGTGATTGAGCAACATAGGAGATCGTCGAATTAAATGTATTAGCCACATGTAAGTGGTAGCCTGACAAAGCTTTGTACATTGCATCGTTACGTTTACAACTTAATTTTTACTCTTTTTCGAACTTCGTTATCTGGAGCCACACCAGGCCTCACTTCGAACAAAGGTTTTTGTTTGAAGTTTCCGTTGTTCAGTCACATTCAGGTATGAGACAACTTCACTTTCTACTCAAAGGCCTACTGCCTGCCGAACAATACAGACTGCGGTATCAGAGTAATATTGGCTTGGGCCTTTAAAGGATTGTACTGGCCGTTTTTGTGGCGGTCTACACAGACCGGTCGACAGGCGCCTTTATGTGTGGCAGTAGAGTAATATTTACTAGTAACAAACCGAATCGAATTGTGCCGGGCTTCCTTAGGGTGCCTACCTGTGTTTCGCAACCAGACGTCGCCTACGAAACTGTACGCACACCTTTACCCCCCAGATACGATTCTAAGTAGTTTTAACTTTCGAAGTTCAGCTTTTTATCGGCAGCTACCAGGCTTGTTGAGTTAATCTTGCTTTTCGTTTCTAACAAAGCATCGTTCTACGCGCGTCACTAAATATGAATTTTCGATGACTTACAGAATCTTCGAAGAAAAAAGAAAAAAACATATTTGTACTTTGACTGTTTATTGTTGTTTTTGCCATCACTTTCTTTATTGTTATTATTGCATTCGTATCGTACATTTCTATAATTTCAATCAACGGTAACCACAATATTTCTTAATCATTTTTGCGAGGTTTTATTTTGAGGTATAAAAAGTATATACATTATTATCATTTTCATTGTTATTTTTTTCCTAGCGTTATGATCTGTCATCAGTTGTGGATATTGTCTCTATGTGATCGGCAGGTAGTTTTCACCCTTCATTCAATGTAAATTTGGTTTTTAATGCACCTAGTTTTCTTTCTGTAACATATACATTATTTCCTGTGTGGGCTACATGTCTATCGCGCGCGGATAACTAGTAACGAACCCGAGCGCGTAACTACTCTTCTTGGAAGTAATTGATAATATATAATATTAATCATAACAAGACTAACAATATGATAACTAGTGTAGTAAGTTTACGAACGTTGCTTTAGACGACTTCCTAGTTAACACATAAGATAGTAGATATGGCAACTCAATCGAGTGCCACCCAACATGCAGTCATTATTATTCGTGTTTGTCAACATCTTCAAAACTGCAATTGCTATAGACATCCGCTTTTGGCTTTTTTTCCCTTGCCAAAGCAGCCTGGTTAAAGTCTCGTATCGATTAGCCACATGTCGATCAGTTACCAACCAATCTATCAATTATCTCTGCCTCCTAAACTTGGGTTGAGCAAGCAAGTCAGTTGCAGCTTAAATGAATGGTCGCACTAACGGATATATCTATGCAGTTCAGTAGGGAAATCGAATCTATAGCCTATAGCCGACTAGCTCCGCCACCGAGAACCTAGAATTAGGCCCTTAGTGGCGGAACATTGAATGGACGTTATCACTGAGATACGTCAATAGGAATCCGCGTATATTTCTGCGATAAGGCAACGATTCAGTTTCATGATTTTGTCATTAGCTACAGGAGGTGCTCTATAATGACCGTATGTGTTGGGAGGCACACTAACATTAACAATGTCAGTTACGAAAAATTCAGTAGGAACGTAGCATGGCCCTATACGTTCCGCTGAACTATATGTAATTTAAAATGATAACAATAGTAGCCTTTCGTCAGCTAAATAGTATGAAAAGCTATAGACAGGATACGATATGTGCGTTATGTCGTCTAATACCCGTAGGGTAAATCTTCTTCATTCCAACAAATGTTCTCGAGACAAAGAGTTTTTGACCGCTGCGTTTCCCTCTGTAACGCCGATACTGAATTGTAGTGAATTACTCGTCTATTCTTCGAAGTACTTATTAGTGAAGTAATCTGAAGGGACTGACTGTGAGTAGTATGAGTAGGTGCTTTTTTTGCACTGAGATTAATTCTAAATTATCAAGTACTCGCATAAACATGTATTGCGTAACACTCTAATTTTCTAAATAGCTTTAACTGTATACTTCTAGTAACAGTAGCAAAAAGAGGTACCTTAAATGCCGGAACCACTAATTCTTCGCATACCTTCCGCACGAAATACATGGTACATCGATGATTGCTATTTTGATTCGTACACGACTCCCTTGTCCCTCCAAAAGGGATATCGTTTCTATAATTGTGCTTTTCGTTTATGAACTTTTCCGGCTCTTTAAATACTTCACATCGCAATCACGTATGGGCATGGATAGGTCTACCGTAAATACAGTTAGCATTTTCGAATAGGTAACGAATGTCAACGTTGGTAAATGACCCAACACACATTGTATAATCGAATGCTTCTAGTGTGTCCGTTTCATTACCAAATGGGCTGTGTTTCAAAGCCTAAGACAGATCGCCTTATGACGTCGCTTTTGTCTCGGTGTTTAGTGTAAACCGTCATGTCGGACAAGATACTATCAAAAGGCGTTCCAAAACAAGAACGATGATTCGATACTATTGAAGATAAGAGATGCTGCGTCTGTGTAAGCCAGCGTATTAGTGGCTTGCTCGCCTTGCCTTTCGTTTTCTAGCAACTATCTCTTGAAATTCTTGCCACAAAGCAAAGAAACGCCTGATACACGCTTAACTGTTCGGCAAAGCTCAGATTCAAATCCCAGCTTAAATTGCCGCCATTAATCTAGCTCGAAGTTTACTTCATATCGTCTGCTACCAGCCTTCGTTACTTTTGCGTTTGTCGAAACGTCTCAACGGGTCGACAACGATCATTGCTTTGATCGTTACGACTAAGTGTTATATCTTCGGCATGATACATAGCTTGCTGTCAAACGTAATGACTCGTTATTATTGTTTGTATTTTATACAGTGTTGCAGCTACAATGAATGGCACTACAAATAGTATAACTGCTGCTACTAGTTACTTATCAGTTATATTTATGAATAGCCATATTTATTCAATGCGTAACGAAGAGCTCCGTGGGTTTGGATAAGCATAAAAAATGGTCGAACGAATTTGTCAACAATAGTTCCATAATGTTTAGCCGCCTTCGTTTTATTGTATCTAACAACGTGGACATGCGAAATGATGTTACCTAGTTGCAGTTATCTGGTGTAGCTGTTTCTGGGTTGTTTTTCGTTTAGTTTGCGGTCTTTGCTTTTACTTGGCACTGTTGAATGTATGCTTAACAAAGTTCCTTTATCCTCAACAATTCTACGCCTATCACGACGCCTACAACGATTGTAAGTGACGGACGAAATAGGGCTGCAAATGATGCAGGTCTCTTCGATTAACGGTGCACATGTGCGGTAGAAACATAGGAGATGATGGATTAACACACACATACAGCGAAAGTACAAATTGAACGCCCGATAGATCCACAGTGGAAAGTCGACCTATAATGCGCTCTAGAGTGTGAGTAGGGATGCAAGCGAACAGACAAATCTATCGCGCTGATTATTACACATAGATCTCGGAAGGATTTTTAAAATGACGTTTTCAGTATTAGAGCTGAAAAGAGATTGTGGCTCAATTGATCAGCACACTGGCATAGGTTAATTTTGAACAGATGTGGGGGCCCTGCTTCACTACGTATGCGTATGAGTAAAATCGGTGTTTTACCTTTTTGCGTTAATTTTAAGATGAACTAGTGTGTACATTAATTGAAGGATATATTATATAGGAGATATTGCGTATAGTTTTGTTTCACTGCAATAAAAAAGTGGTTCTCGTGTGTACAAGGGCGTCCTCTGTCGAACCAGTGAATTTTCCCTCTTAAATTTTAGATGGCTTTAGACAAGGTCTATCACGCCTATGTCTGACGAAGAGAAAAGGACAAGCTGTCCAGGCGGAAATCGATATTCCTTAGCTATGCTATCCTAATGCATTAGCGCTTTCTGTTCTTCTTTTGACTGTCTGCCGTCTCGGAATGTTGTCTTATGTATATTTTAAGATAGCGCCTTCATGCATTTTGTAAAAATGTTATTTGAGATTTGTTACAACGTTTATAGTAGCAAAAAAAATGTAGTCATTTTGACATACTGTCCGTCATTAGCCACTTCGTTAATCGCAGCCCTCGCTGTTTCTACAACGGACAATGCCCATCTGCCGATCGATGGTCCATCTATTCGTTGCAGCCGCATACGTTTACACGTTAGTTTTCGGCGTGGTTCGTATTAAATCTCTGCCGCAAGAAAAAAAGACGGAAGTTAAACCTTACTTATTTGTTTGAAATTGCACGGTTTTCTTTAATGGTGCTTCTAGACTATCCCGTCTACTCGCACTAGTTTTCCCTTATTTTCATCAAGGTAACCTGGTAGGTAATACCAGCTCGTAAAAGAGAATTACATTTGTAAAATAACAATACAAGAACCCACCGATGCAAAGTGCTCTCGAATATCTACTGGGTAAACTGTTTACATGATTAGGTACTTAAATCCTGTTTTTTTCACGTGACGAATGTTGCGTATAACATCGTTCCTGCCTGATACTATCGTATTTGAAACTAGTTCGGCATTTAATTCGTTCCATGTTTTTTTGGTGTTACTCTAGATTGATTTTTATTGGCTAGGGTGTGTGGTTGCTGAAGCCAGTGAAAACCTGTACCTGACTCATAACTGACGTTGATTTCCCTATGACATGTATGTACGTGACGCTTTGTCCTGAGCTTCCTGTCAACGTAGTAGGACATTTGACCCTGACTCTTCCATTAATGCGTATCAACATCTCAAAATATGTTAGTCACTTTGTCGCCTGTATAACCAATCAGCATAGGGACTGTGCTCGAGATTTCCTTTCTAACAACGTTAAAGTCTTAGATCCTGACACACGTTCTCGAATATTTATGGATCGGCCTAGCTCATTTGTTTTAATCAGTATTACACAACTGTTACTTCTTGCGATGCGACGATTCCTCTGAGTAATTAGGCGAATTCACGAGCCGAGACGAACTCAATTCCGCGTCAATGACTACGATTCATTCAGCGACGCATGGATGCCAACAGCAAAACGTGCTTCTGCGTTTATTAGTTTCCGACTCGGCCGACTTAATTTCCACCTATCCTTGGCTTTGTATTAAGGTATTCCATCTGGCCACCTGCTCACCGCGACCTTCGCGCATATCACTCCAGTGGACCAGTTGCGCATCCGATGAGGGATTCATACCGAATGATAGCCAGCCGACGAGCTGCTTCCTCTTCATTGAACTTCGTTTATAGGCCGAAAGGATCAATGTCACGTCGCTCAGCTGGAAAAGTGCCACTTGAAACACGAAAGTTTCCTGAAATGAACAGTACACGCCAGGAAAATAGCCCGAAAGGAAATTGAAATGAGCGACGTTAGTTAGTTGCCGATGAAGCTAATTACCGTACTTCCAATAGCTCTAGTAATCCAGTACATTATAGCTGCAAAAATCGTCTTTTTGTTAACGAAGGTAATAGATATCGGCTTATGTCATAGTACCAGTAAAAAGAGCCAATCAATTTCTCGGCTTATACTGAATTTTATCAACTCGTTATTAATATGCTTGAAATTCTTAACGTCTTCAGTGGCCCGCGCTATTTAGATTTCAATGCATAGTAGAACCGCGCACCTCCATGTATCTCGAGCATCTTGTTTTCAGCATAATTTCCTTCATTCATCATTTTGGGTTTCTTCAATGCCACGTGCTCACGTTTTTACAACAGATTTCATAGATGATCGGCAGAGCAATACCGATTGATACTAACCCTATGCAATCGAAAGCCTCGAAGTTGTGTTAAAAATGTCCTTGCTATCAGCTCACACGCGTATGGTCAATCTTCGGCCGATCTTTAGTCAAACTTACTTTGTAGACAGGATCGGCCTGTCCTTTTCTGACGGAAGTTTTTGACGAGGCTATCTCTTGTCCTGATGACGAAACTAGGCACACCTTGACGAATGTATCGGGTGATGAGCAACTTTTCACGTGAGGCACTCCCGGCAATACTCCCAGATGACTTCCGCCGATGACCTCGACACTCAGTCTACCCGTTGTACCATTGTATGCTAACCCAATGAGCAGCTCAGGCGAGGATGCTAATCCCACGTGCTGGGGTGAGTGTGGTGATCGCAGCGAATTTAGTGAACCCGTCGATGAATCTTGCGATTTAAGTGAACAATCAGAGATCTCCGATTCGCTTGAAGTGGTCCCGCCCCCGCTAGCGCTCTGCGATAGCTTCGACCCAAGGGCGACCTGTATAGGTTGCCGTAGTCTGGCGCAACCCAGGGAAATTATGGCTTCGCCTACTGGAAAAAAGAATGGAATTAGTGCAAGGGAAAGAATAAACGATGTGTGATTAATATGGGTCTAATGTGGAACGCGTTGCGATATGAACGAATATTAATTTCTCAAGGCACTTAAAGGAATGTGCCGCCAATAATTGACATGTCATTGTGTTTTTCCATGAACTTATGGGCGGCCAACGAAGCAGAACGAGATCGAACAAGCAGCTTTGTGTGTGCCCCATATCAGGAAAATATAATTGATTATAAAGGTTTTCGCTCGCAATTCGGATCGAACAATATTCTATGTCAGTATGTACGTATGTATAATGAATAGATTACGTACTAATAAGCCGTTGTCGTCTTGTCAGACGTTCGTGTGCGGAGTGAATTCTGAAGCGCAGCTGCATCCCTGATATGGATTCCGAGGAAATGCGCGAAAACACCAAATCCTCATTGAATGTACAGTTACCTGCAATGCATTACATATATATACACATAGAGTTAGTTCCAAAGTTATTCGGATGCTACTTAAATTACTCAAAACTTTACATTTCCCTAATTGCATACTTTAGTCTGTGCTACTTAAACCTATTTATATGCCATCTTGACCAGTAAAAAAAGCAGCATCTAGCTAAATAAATAAAGGTCTACTGTCTGCTCGCCACTGTCTTACTTAAACGAACGCTAACGAATCGCTTTATAGCTTTTAGCTATATTCTTAGAGATCCGCATTGGCAGCTCAACTTATCAGTTCTGTCTGACGATATCGCAAAATGTCTGTTGCATGCATCCATGTATTTCAGCTATCCTCTTCTGATCGTTTTTTTCCGAGCCATGAACGAATTGCTCGTTCGTGCACTTACCCTGTTGGTCAGCCTGTCTCGCCTTCGACGCTCGACTTTGCTTTAGGCGTCCGGCCTGACGCGCGGTTAGCGCTGTCACCTTGAGTCGGTACGTTCCGGTTTTTGCTGTCGTTTTGGTCGCTAGCACCTTTGGCGACGCTTTCAGCGGGATACGTTGCACCTGTATGATACTGACCACGAGCCGGCGAGCCAAGGTGTCATGACTGATGCTCACCTCTAAAACTCCACCCGATGCATCGGCGATATTGAACGACTGTAATTAATATTTTCCACATATGTGTTAGAGATGGACTACGCTTTATTTGGTTCGTCAGTTAACAGCAGACTGATTTATCCCACGTGGTCAAACGCTAAGTAACAGCAGCTAGGAAGTTTGATTAGCCAAACAAACACGGTGAACTTGATGCGTTGCAACGTCAACTTGTTTTCCGTATTGCGTGATTGTTGTCTAAATTAGCATTAGTTTGCACTTTTTTTTTACCTGATTAGTAGTAACAACGGTGATTTTCTGATTATCAACGATCTCATTGGACACGGCCGTTGTCGAGATCGCGGACGTGCAGTTTGTCAACGGTTGCTGGTAACAGGATTGGAGGCTCTGATAACTGAGATTGGCCATCCGTTGATGGGCGCCAAGCAGTTCGGCGGCAAACGGATTGCTTTCATTAACTGAGGTGACGGATCCTGAGCGTTCGTTGAGGTTAGGCCGATCCTGTATCCGATCAGGGCCGGCGCTTCGGAATTGCTGCTGTTCGACATTGATGTTGAGGTTGTCATTGTTGATGAGGTGCTCATCCGAATCAGAACTGGCACTGATATCTTCATAATAGAACGTATCGTCTACAAGTAAATCAGAAAGGACAAATCAATTCGTACTGTGATCATAATAGTAACAGATTAGGGTCGGGAACGATGAGCAGCTGCAAGAGATAGACTCTAGTGTTTAAACGAGTTGCTTGTGCTATTTCCGCGGTATAGGTACAGTCATCAGTAGGACACTGCATATATTACAGCTCCGTAGATTTTATAAGGCAGCTAGTTAGAGTGTTAGAGGTTGGCCGACTTGTCCATAGATACGTGATTTGGAAATTTGCCACAAAGACCTATCTGTCATACTCTGATCTTTTGAATAATTTGTTGCTCTTGTAATCCTGGTTAAAGTACGAGTCAATAGCGCTGTGTTATAAAATAATGTCTATCAAGATCATGACGATTAAAACGAAGGCTTTTTATTTCAAAACGCGTCAAACACAAGGGTGTGTATACATTGGGCCTTTATAATGAATAAAGAAATATAAGGATACAGCGACACGTATATATGTTTGTATGTCGCGAAGTGTTTGGGTAAAAAGTTTGGCCATTATAACCACCTGGTCGGCAACAACAGTTCAAAAAGGTAACGAAAAAAATAAAAATTATTTGGTCTGTCAAAACACAGTATGTATTTTTCGCTCTTTTTTTTTCGTTACTTTTCCACGTTTGTTTACTTCCATGTAGCACTTACTTTCTTCTTAATAAGTCCGTTATAATTTCGCTGCATGCTAAACAGAAGATGTATTTGCAACACTGACTTCATATGCCTTTTATAGTACCAAAAAGCCGGCGAAACATCTTGGCAAGCAGGAACTCCACAAGTGAAGGGATTGCTAGATGGTGGCCTGCTAAAATCAAAGATCGGATCGTGGATGTAATCGATGCCCCTGGCTTCGGTCAGCCATCCGAGTTCAATAAAAATCTCGTAAGCAACCCCTCTGATTGAGCAATCTCCAGTCGTTTCCATAATGATTAGGAAATTTCACCTTTATAAGCGTAGTTCAAAATACGGTTTGGATTCTAGCTCAAGGTCGAAATAAGTATAGGAGTTCGTGTACTCCATAAATAAACAAAATGAAGGGCTTAAAAGTACGCGGCTTCGTATTGTTTCTTACTATCTTCCCTAGTACCAAGCAACATGCAGCCAAAATTACGGATACCTGTTCATATTCGTTCTGGTAACTCTAACAGCTGGTAACTTGAATAAAGTAGAGTAAAAAAAAAGAGTATGAATAGTTACGGGAGATAAGCCTAAGCTTAGAGATAAATCAGGTTTGCAATTGGGGGTTCAAGTTCCAAACCGGGCGTGCTATAAATAATTTCCCGCATAGGTGTGCCCATATTGGAGTATTGGGTTTGAATTAATAGCGTTTTTTACTCTTGATATACAAAATATTGTCGACATTCACTATCTAAATACGCATAAGACTCTTACTATTAATTAGTCTACTGAGTAATTCAATATACATACGTCGTAATGTTAGTATCTTGTAGAAAAGTAAATGTTTCCAATTACAGTCATCATGGACACATATTCTGAAGCTGAACTCCATCCCGTCCCAGTGCCGTATGACACATTGAAGCGTTAGCTATAATACAACAATGGGACATCGATCGCTGTAGTAACAATAGAGAATTATCTCTGCTATACATAAACACATACTGAATCCGTCAAGGTATGTTCTTACTGCACGCAGAAATTCATTTCCGTACATCTACATGGCCCAAGCTCGTGAAAAACGGCCCGACGTTCAAAGATTTAACCTTGGAGTTTCATCGCTTTGTGTGCATGACCCGAATAATCGTATAGTCTTCACAGTATTCTGAATGGTTATGGACGATGGAGAAAAGAGCATGAATTATGTCAAGGTTACGCAATTGGGTCCTGTCGCAGGGCGCGCGCTCGGTCTGAACAGACGAGGTCAACCTTGTATATAAAATTAGAGTCTGTTTTGGGTTTACTCCTGGATACGGCGCGGAAGTGTATTCCTGCAGATACTACGACATTTTCAAAAAGCCATCCTTGCAGCTAATCAAACAAGGGAATAACTGGCTTGTCAAACGCCAGAAGAAACATGCTATATATCATCATATTATATATACGCGTAACATCAAATTACGTTGCATCAACACTCATGTTGATATCATTCGATGTTGGCTACGATTGGGTTGTCGTATGTAGAAGAGTCTCTGTTCGTCGGCATTGACCTTTTAAAACGAGGTGATTGGGTTCAGTAAGCTTTCGATAAAGTCAGAATAGGCAAAGGCACGGAATTGTAGCTGACTGTAATGAACTAGATAATCTATGGGAATGGCCACAGTATAGAGCAACAATGGCGGAAGCAGCAAAACTGGCTTAAATAAAACATATACTCGAGGTAATTTCAGCATTTCAATAATTCCACCAATGGAAACGCTCTTTCGTATCCCGTTTACGATATAGAAAGTTGTGTCTGTCTTCTTATTTTTAGTACAATAATAATCATAAGGAGGGGAAGGGAATAAGGAGGAGGGGAAGCGGAAGTCAACGGCAAACGACAAACTGTTGTCTAGCTCCGCTGAATTGACCATTGTCCAAACAGTATTATCTCTGTGTTCTATTGAGATTCAATCGTCTACAATTGTAAATAAATAGAGTTCTTATTAAACCTCAACGCGGACATTATCAAAGAGCATTGCTGTCATGGTAAAAAAAAAAGGTTCTACCTTTCTGGGTGCTTCCTTTTAGCTAGTAGCGATTGAACAATCTATCGTGATGCGCTATCCCGGAAGCTGCCAAATCGATTCAGGCAACAATATTAGACGCACTTAACGAACCGTACGCTCGTAGCTCAATGAATAAGAGCGTTTTAGCTTTATCAAATCGCAAAACTTTTTGAACACGGTCCTGTTGTCTTTCAAGCGCGTTCATTTCGCTCAAGTGTCAACAAGTTTTTGCTGCATGTAATCCAGCACACTTGGTTTTTATTAAATCCTAAAAAATCATTTCACAGGAACATATCCAAGCGCTTAGAGAATAGATCTCGCGTGCATTTGACAACAAGACTGTCCTACACCAAGAAACTGAACCAAACGCTAATACCCTGTTGTATTTGGAAAACAATTTAGCCCTGCATTATCTGTGTTACGGTTGTACCTATTTATTGTTAGCGTCCACTATGTAGCAAGAATTAGAAATTAATGAAGCATCATTTCTAACCAGCTGACCGACTTGCTCAGTGATTGCTTTGTTGCTCAATGACTCACCGAGAGTGTTGCTGGAGTAGTCGGAGTACTTGCGTTTGTCCGGTCCCGCGGTTAAAAGTCCATGAAAACACAGTCGCCGATTGAGATAGAGGTAATAGAGCACAACTAGTGAGGCCAGGAGCATCGCGCAGCCGGCCAACGTCGCCCCAAGGGCGTGAGGCAGTGGAAGCCACAGGGCAAGCGCAGGCGCCGATGTGGGTGCCGATGTGGGTCCAGAGATCGCAGCGGCTGAAGCCGCTGCCACTGCTGCAGAAGGTGCTATCAATGCCGCAGTTGTTGTTTGCTTGTGTTGAAGAGCTCCAGGCGCGGCGATAGGTCGCGATAATGCTGCGTGGCCTGACAGCGGCAACAGTGGCGACAATGGCGATAGGACAGGCAGAGAACTACTCGTCGTTAAAGTCGTGTCCGAGCTGTACAAAACTGCCGAAACACTGTTTTGCAAATTGCTGCTAATACTACCACTTCTACTACTACGGCCGCTGCTGTCGGAGGATGAGGAAGACACGAGGAGATGTGCAGTTTCAGCGTGTTCGCTTCTGACCGACTTCACCGTTCGCGCCTGCACTTCATTTTGCCTAATGGCTGCACGCTGAAAGTCCGACTTCAACTGACGTCCTAGTGCAGCTACTGCAGGCGCAGCAGCAGCAAAGGGAACGGCCTGCTGCGAAACCGCAGCCAGTAACAGAGTCTGCCTTTGCTGCTCATTGAGATACTGCTGCTGCTGCTGCTCCTTTTGGTGGTGGAATTGGTTTTGGAGATAGTGGCTGTCCTGTGTTGTCCGTGCAGCTCCTGCCAGCGGTTGGGGTCCCGGGCTAGCGGCCATCGCTCCTAGCGACAGCGCTGCGTCCCTATGATCACTTTGAAGTCTTCGTCGCTTCGTAAGGCCGACGCGACCAGCCATGAATTGTGTGCGTAGGCTGCAGGCCCGCGGCCTGACTCCGTTGCGCCCAACGCACGCCTCACAGGGCGTTCGGCAGCGGCTCACGTAGCAAAGAATGCATCTCTCGCTTGGTCGAATCCCGTGCACCACTGCGCCATCACGGAGTACAGACGATGACAACAACAACAACCTTAACGCGGGCAGCGGCTGCAGCGGCGACAGGAGCTACGATGGGGATCCAAGCAGAGGGCTGTTAGGGGACGGCTGCCTTTAGGCCCCGTTGGCTATTACGGCGGCGAAGTCGTCTGCCTAAATCGGTGCCAGTGCAAGCCTCATGGCCAAGGCGGCGGCCGCGGCGAAGGTAGCAGGGGTTTGCAGAAGGGCGAGAGGTTCTCTCTACATGTTTTAAAGAGAGAGGGTGTGCCTTTAGGGGAGGACCAATGGACGCAGGCGGTAAAGAAGGTCTGCGTCAGTGTGCGCGTATGTATGCAACTACGGTGATGATGGGTTGTCAGCAATGCGCGGTCCAGATAGGTGGAAGTACTCAGTATCCGATGTCTGCTTTCGTCTTAATATCCAAGACCACACCGTCTTTTCCTACGGTAACCTGCCATCCTTTCCAATTTTGATTTTAGAATCCAGATTCATTGCTGGCTACAGCGGTAGTAGCAACCCTGAAAGGAGATTTGTACTGGCTGTATGGCCAAATTGGTGGCAGCGGTGAAAATGGTCTCGGTAAAAAGACGTTAGTAGCCGTTAAAGGCGGCCGAGACAACGCTTATGGCGAAACCTCAAATCTTGAGCCTTTTGTTTAACATCAAACTTTAAAAACGGAACTATGCGTACCGTTTTCTATTTTCTGTTCCCTGCCTTTCTCTTGTTGACGCCGTCAAATCTTCAGACGTATACCCCAGATAGTTCAACGCAAAGGACGAGGAAAGATCCGCTTTTGAGAATACCAGGAATTGTTTGGGCTATTTATTGTTTACTGCCGGTCTGATGTCACAAGTGCCTAACGCCTATTGCTTTTGAGGTAAAAGAACAGGGTCGGAAGGGAGGAGATTGTTGTTGGTTGTAGTTGGCAGAACTCATGGCCTTGAGATTTACCTCCCTGAAATGAAGCCAGCTTGTGATTCTGCAGTCCAGTGCTTCGAAACAGAAGGATATTAAAAGGTGGCGAGATTGAAAGAAGAAGATATAGAAAGAGATTGTACATACTTTTAAAATCTAAAGGTACTAGCTTAGCAAGGTCAAAAGATTAGCTCAGCTGTTTCTCTAGTGTAGATAATACGAGTAATGAAAAGGCAGCCAGCTGAACTTGGTCGGTGAGAATAGAGCAATGCATGTTTGCTTATTGAATGGACCTATGTTTTGAGCTTCAGAAAGGAATTTCTATAATCAGTTCGAGATCTCGAAAAGAGGCTGGAAGTCGGACATGCGTGCATTGAGATTGTCAACAAACATCTTCCGCTCGCTTTAAATAAAGATAGAATAATGTTGTACTTCATGAGATGCCTTCCGCCATACGGCCCATTACAATGTGTACCTATACTTGCCAAAGAGCTGATTAGGTTCAACTTAGCGGCGTTTGCTGAATACCTGATCCGCTATCCGCAATGATATTTTTGCACCATCCGAAGCCATATAGAACAATGCAGCAAAAGCGGGACTCCGTCTACTTAAGCTTGTTCCGGTATGCTGATTGGCTAAATGAGGATATACATATATTATAGGCTGTCGTACATTACGTTCAAAGAAACACCTTTAAACGCCGATAGCGGCAGCGCAAGTTACAAAGGACCTTCTGAAGACGATTTTATTTAAAGCGCATCAACACAGGTTTCAGGCCAAAGTAACCAAATTCTATGCATGTCCTTCCGACCAATGTCCAACCAATTTCCTTTAAGCCACGTGCGCTATCGAATGGCCTTAAGTTCAAGCAGGTCAGAGCAGATCCGCTAGCGAACAACTGACGCAGAGGGAACGACGAAAACGTAATAGGGTGTGCAGTTCGTGTTTTTCGTTATTTATGGGATTGTCTTTGGCTTTGCTCAAGCAAAGAAGTCAGAATTGCACCTCTTTACTTAAATTTTTATTTAAATTTAAATGCCTTCGGTAAATTTCGTTCCTATCGCGTGTCTGTCTTTGATATATCAGGTTGAAAGGGAAGTAATGGCAGTGTTTGTTAATATATATATATTTTTTCCTCATTTTTTTGTGTTGGCGGACCAGTGGTGTTATATCTTGTTGAAAAGGTCTGTTCTTGCTTTGCATTTCTGTTGTTATGAAGGTAGCAAAATCAAAATATTGAGCTTGAACTCGAATGACCGATATGGCGGGTAACTAAAACGAAATGCTCGATACCTTTGAGTAGTTTTCATTGAAATTATAAGACTGCTGACAAAAAAGCACGATAGGTGTGGCATATTCAACAAGGCTCTCATAACGTAAACTGATACCTGTATTGCTCCCGCAGATTTTTGACGTAGACGAAAGTTGCTGCCGAAAATTAACTTTGTCTTTTGCCCCTGTGATGATGCAGTAACGTGTACTCGCTTATTAAACTCAGACACACATGAGGTGGTTGAGATTCGCGAAAGGGCGTGGAAACTTTATTTTATGTTGGGCGTCGGTCGTTTGAAGTGACGCTCGAGGACTGGGTCGAACAACTCGAAATGTTTTTCTCCGGTGATTGCAAACACTGCATCTTTACAATCCGAAGCCAAAATAATCTCCAGAAAGCTATACACATATCCCTGTAAAGCAAAGCGGAGATACGTTCGAAACAATATATCGCAGTGAGCGAAAAGTTAGCAAAAACAAACGTCCTTACTGACTTGATGATTTAATCGATCTATATATACATATATATCTACTGCAGCCTTAATTGGGCCAATACTGTTAAGGGATAACTTTATGAAGAAAACCCACAGTAGAGTGACTGCTTTATACTAGCACGTGCATTTCAATATGTTCGATCATCTTGACCTATTCCATTATTGAATGCTATTTCATACGATGTAGTATGTAAATTAAAGATAAGCGATAACACCTTCGTGGGCCAACACAGCCAAACAGAAGCTGCATCATTTTTCAAAATGGTCGTTTTTTCACTTCTGACTAAATCGATAACGTTACGCCGTGCGGACTAAAACGATCGATTAATTTGAAAACTATACGCGAATTGTCAAAAATCAAACGACGGACGTCACAACGAAATCTAGAGCGATCAAATTAATATGAATGAATTTACAGGTTGCTTCTCTACTATAGCTGGGCGTACGATTGTGTTCATTACTAGGCTTTTTTAATCGGCCATACAAAGCCCAATAGTGAAATCGCTGACTCGACCAGATGTCGTTAAAGGCCTGTTATGGCCAAGAGACGTTCAAGTACGGCTCAGAAGTGCATTAGTTGCCAATAGAAAAGTAGATTGACGACTCTATGTTTTGGCTAAGTCAAAGATACTTTTCTGCCAATTCGACTAAATCGAACTAAAATAAATAGCGTTGTCAACGACGTTCGGCCAGCTTCACCCTGTATTTTGATACCCCTAGTACTACATAAATAAAGCGTCTAAACAAATTTAGAATGATTTAAGCTTACAGCTTTTCCACTTACGACTAGCTACCGTATCAACGATGAACTTGTTCGCTGCCGCAGTTATATTATCATTGCCTACATCAATGGCTACCGCACGAAGGCAAATCGGAACGATATACGCATCCTTTTTAAACTAGGAGAGAAATTCTGCCCTGCTTTTATTAAGACAGCAGAGTTTAATATATCCAATGAATTCTATTGTCGACTCAAGATAGCTTACCATAGCAGCATGGTCATATTTTCTGTGTCATTCCGAAATCGAGAAGCTTCTGTGTGAACCATTCGTTTGTCGTATCAACGAACCTTTAATCCAACCTAGGCAAAGCTCAAAGTACAAAGACAACTGGCCACGGAGCTCTGGTCCTAGTTCGCCTATAATCGGGACTAGAGGTCTATATCAGGTAGATATATGTTCTGCGTGAGTTTCAGATGTGTAGCACATTTGGTATCGAGGAGTGGGAATCACCGGACGATGAGGAAGTTCCAACTGATGCATCCAATATAGTTCATATAGGATGATAAAAACCTGCTCACATCAGTGTCGAAACATAACGCAACCTACATGTGCACATTGCAATTCTAGATGCGTCTGCTCGTTGGTAACAAGACTGAGCTTGCTCCGTGCTGTCAAGTATATAGCGCCGTTGAAAAAATAACTTTGACTAATATATTTGCCTTTTAAGAAACTTTTTTTTTCGATGAAAAACATTCAAGTTGAAACAAATTCGAGTCGCCTCCCGTCATGTCCAGCGGTCATTGCATTTTAGATCTTCTTTATTTTGACCATTTGTCATCTCAGCAGCAACATTGATAGTAGTTCTCCAAGCTAGGCCGTCTTGCCTATAGTAATTATACTTTTTATTTACGCAAGTTGTACAGGGATGCCTAGTCTACCTCCTAATAGTCATATGGTCCAACCGAAACATAGTGCAAGTCGCCTGAACAATCGGCTTGAACTGATTTTTAAGGAAAATTTCATGAAAGAAAGCACACTGAGACACAATGAGAAGTTAAAAAAAAAAGAGATTTAATTATTCAACCGAGCAAGAAGCGGGGGGTACAAGACGTTCTCGGAGCCGCCTGTTGTAGGACAGTCCTATCGGAGGACTGACTAAGCAAAATTTTATATATAATTCAATAACAAAAGGGATTACGTATTATGAACATTTATATAGTATATCGTACTAGCCTACGATGAAAAAAGATGCAGCCCTTGACGTCCACAGCTCAGTGAACAGCTGACATTTCACCATTACCTTGTGGTACGTCTGTTTTTATATGCTATCACAATAAATCGCATCGATTAAAGGCCTCCTTCGGCGCGTTCTCAGTTTAGGTCCATCATTGCCAATTTGGATGATCGTAACTCCAATAGTTTATTTTATCACAATAGAGGTCAATGTCTTCCAACGGGCTACCGTCGCAGATCTCGGCTCCGCGGCCGCCGCTGCTGCTGCTGCTCTCATCAGCTGATCTCTTCAGACATAAGAACGGTTTCGGCGTTCATGGTAGCAGCGTAAACACTAGCCGACTGTAGATCGCGAGCGACAACCTACAGAGGCCAAGGCGACTAGAGAAAACTGCTTTCGGCTGCTTGAGGCGCAAGGCGACGTGCCCTAAGTTCCTCTCTAAAAGGGCTTTCCAGGTCACCAGTTAGGCCATAACTGGCCGATCAGATCACGTGTGTTGGTATAGGCTGAGAGTCAAGAGCAGTGCGCCTTCGGAAGCCCGACTGACCTTGTATGATGTGATTCGAGTTGTATTTGGTGCTACTTGTGATCTAGAAAAAGGTTTGCATTTGTCGTGTCTGCGTATGACGTAAGTATTCGTTGATAACAATATGATTTACTTAACAGTTCTAAAAAAAAAAGACACAATGAGATAACTACGCGGGTAGTGTTCGATCGATGATTCTGGTAGTGGACCCACTCTCCGTGTACTGCCTCTACTGTGCGCACATCAGCTTTTATCTGGCTAGGAACGTAAACTTGAATTGATGCAATGAGAACCATCATTTTCTTACATTTGCGTGTCTTGTAAATCGTACTGCGTGTAAATATATACTGATTGAGCTTTTTTGCTCATGATCTCGTATGTAGACTAGATCCAGGCCATGCCTACGTATGCGAATGTAACACGAAATGCAGGTGGAAATCGTGCACTGTCCCTGTCGATTCGAAGCATTGTGGATAACATTTCATGTCCAACTATTATAGCAGAGTCTGGCAAATAGAAAAAAATTCAAATCTTCACTATATGCTGTAATGACACATCTATTATGTACGCGTTTACACCGTTTCCATCACAAACCGGAACGGCGACGTTGCGTTTTTTTTTTTTTTTCGTTTTTCTTTCGTATTACAGTAATTTAATACGTACATGAAAACACGATACTTGTATTGCTGCTTTCAACTGTTGCAAAGTATCGACTCTTTCCAGGTCAGAATTAAAGGGAACACTATTTACGTTTTAAAGTAATTATTATTCAACCATTTCGGTCAATGACTTGTTGCCATTTTTCTGGACATTTCGTAATTTTACCACTGCACCACTTTTTCGATCTTTAGACAAAAAATCTCATTAAAATTGATTTTTGCATCCTTCTGTTGAAACTAAATTATCGTTATTGAAATAGCTTTCTTTTATGGGCCAAAATAGATGACTGTCTGATAGTGTAAAACCCAGCCTATACGGGGGATATATTGAAACTTACAATGAATGTAAGTTATCCAGGTGCCGGACAGCTAAAGATGGTCATGGTCAAAGACGTCAATCGTTTTGTCAGACGGAAGAACAGCAAACACTATAGGGTCATCTTTTTGGCGTCCGTTTTGACTTTGTCACGGGTATTCGAGTAGATTTCTGATTTTCTTTTATCTGCATATGATCGTATGTGATCGACTTTTTATCAGCCATGATACGTTACATTTTCGTAGAGTCTCGCAGATCGTGGCGATTCATGTGACGCCGAAACGGCGGATATTTTTTTTTGTAACGAATTTCCTTCAAACGGCCTAAACGTGTTCGGTGATGTTTCCTTAGCGATGCCATAGTTATTATCGTGCAAGTGTTGTTCAACTTCGGCAATGATTTCATCAACTTTTTCTGTAACTGATCAACTATAAGGAGCAAAGTTCACATCGAAATTTCCAAAAAAAAAGTTATAGAACCCTTTTTAAGGTGTTTTTTTTTTTTTCGGTAATCTATCTTGACCATAACAAGTATACACTTTCAATAAAACTGTGAGATATAGCAGATTTTTACAAACATGTCTTGTCACCTTTAAAGGCTGAATGAGCACATCTGCTACGGTAAGATTTTAGCATTTAAAAGGCACCATATTGACCTGAGGTACAAACCATCTAATTAAAAGAACAGTGAGTTTCATAATATATAGAAATATCGTAAACAAAAATATATTGAACACTGTGTAAAGAGCTTTACATGACTGATTGGCATGAGATGGTCAGTGTACTGGTATTTCACTGCACTGTATCATGGTGCGGTCGCCATGCTGGAAAAATAAAATTTTGAATTGATGGGCGCGCAGTTCATTAAAAATTAATTATTTATACGTTACAAATGAATTGGTTAATATGGTAGTAGAGAAGTAAATATCAGTTTTCGATATTGCCTGTTGTAAGTTTGTCAAGTAGTTGATACACACAAATATGCATAGTACAAATAATCGACTTAACGACAATATATATTATTATTTCAACTGTTTGAAATAGACGTTGCTTTTACCTTCATAATTCCATATAGCATTAATTAGCAGCTGGTCTCTGCGATAAAAGCACGGCGCTAAACTCGTTTAATAATTTTCTTACTAGAGTTTTATACGAAAATAACGCCCGTTACCAAATGAAATTAGTCCAAACGCTCTTGGTCTCTTACGAAGGACATCCTAGGCGCAGTGTGGAGTAGAATGAAGGTCGCATATACCCTGGCTCTTTGCTTCTCATTGAACTTCGTCCTGTGTTGACAATCGATGCCAGTTAATATCGTGTGGCTGTGACCGGTTCAATGCTCGCTTACAGCATAAGATACGATTAAATCAGGAAGTGGATGCAGAAAGTAGTGAAACAACAGTGCTAACTTGTGACTGGATGGAAAAGTGACTATACGTCTCATGTAAATCATACGCGACAGGATTATTTCTGTTTTCGAAATTATTCATATTACTGTTATTAGTATTGACGCCAAATTCGACGCGGATACTTCTCCGAAAACACGGCGAACGTTTCACTACGAGCAAGTAGCACCTCTGTTCCTCAACGAATCGAAATAAAGACGTTGAAATTTTCCCAAATAAATGCTGGCACGCCGCACGCTGCGATACAACTAGAGTACTTTAGAGTTATGGTATTTGCCAACGTAAAGCATTCTATTGGATAGAAAAGCGCGTTTATTTCCTTTGTACGTTTGATAGTGGTAATTGAAGTAGTGTTGGAGTATTCCGTTAGGGACAAGCGTTGTTTTTTGATGTTCGTTGATGGGATGACCCTGATCGGAGCTCGAACGTAGTTGGTGGCTTTGTAATATGAAAACTTGTATTGACATGCCAATGGCTTAAATTGAAAGCGATTACGATTCTCTTGTGGCGACTTAGGCAAACAAAATAACTATTCGTTTTGCAATTTTAGTTACTTATATATAATATAAACTACAATAATAATACTATATATTATTATGATCAATATTTATTTGTTCATTACAGAAACAATGTTGGCCACTGTGTCATTACGGGCAAGCCGCTCGCTGAACATCTCCCGGAGGCGGATTACCTCACTGACGAAAGACAATTCCCGGCGGAGCCAGAAAAAGCATCTTAGCTATGAAATCGTTATACCCGCCATGGTGAGCACAACTCCTCGATTTTGTTGTTTGATAAATTGCGATTCATTAGCTTATTCGGAGCTTAGCGAGTGGAAAAAAGCTCAAATAGCTTCGGGGAAGTTATGTGTCGGTATACGTAGGATATACTACTCCTCGTAATTACAGTACTTCGTCTTTCGTCTACGGAGGCGCTTGTCCCCTCTGTAGTCTTCAACTTCTTAATTACGATTACGACAGTTATAGCACCAGCAACAAACTGTTGCTTCGCTGAAGATCTCTGTGTAGTTTTCATCGATCTTCGATTGCTTCTACAGGTGCTTTTGTTTCAAAAAAAAAAAAAACGTTAATTTGATCCCTAAAGATTGATTTAAGTAGTATTTTTTGCCTCTGAACTCACTCTTCCCTGATGGTACTCGGCCTATTAATAGTTGTAGGCTAGTCAAAGGCTTGATATGAATAGCCGACGAATTCCGCCTGTTAACCATGCCTAGTTAAAAAGATGTTGAAAACGTTCAACCCGCTCCGGACAATCTATGGCATATTGCATGCGTAACAGTGACCACCTACAGCATATTGTTGTTTCGCGTTAACGCGGTTACATTGATTTTTCAAATTTGTTAAAAAGGTTTATTATGTTAAATTATTAGCTAGCGATCGAGTATTATCAGGTCTCAATCCGATCCAATAGTTTTACGTTAGCGGGCAACAGCGGGTGACGTAACGTCGCTGTAACGAGAAACAACGCCAGGAACCAGTAGCCTCTCTGTGGGGTCGGTAGGGGAGTACAAACACTCCAGGTAACATGCTTGTCTCAAAATGAGCACTTTACGACCTCAGGGACTTCAGGCCTTACGACCACGTAGGGGCAAGTTGACACGCCACCTTCTGTAGCGTGTCACTTCATGCCATAATGGGTGTGGTATGGGACGCGTCCCGAAACCGCTAGACAGGGGCAACATCGACGGCGTCGAATTTGACGCCGTTTGTATGACGATAGCTGCTTCGTTGATCTTCAGTAACTAACTCATTGGTCTCACCAACATAATTCTTCCATACAGGAAGACAATAAACGATACCGCATCAGACGTAGTCCAATCCGTAAGTTGATCAACAACAATAATCGAATATAGTATATATATAATACCTAGATATCTGATGATGTTATGGCTAGTATACAATTTCGACGGTTTTTAGTAGACGGGGGCTTCCAATCCCTCCGACGACACAAATGTTACACAATGTACTATGATATATATATATATATATATATACACACTAAACTCTTACGCGACAAAGTTTCTACAATGCAGCGGGTCAACTGAAATAGAGTAATTGAAAAAAATCAGACAAAAACAAACTGTAGGTGGAAGTACCGGAGTAGTGTAACAGTTGTAATGAATTCGAGTCGAAGGCGGGAAAGTCTAAGAGAGACCACACGACTGAGATGTTGATCGAAAATAGTCTGAAAGTATCGTACGAACAAGCGCACTCATCCGACTAATCATAGATAAAAGTATGAGCCTGTTGATGTACATAGCACTAGCCGCTTTTTTCTTAATGGTCCACCAAAAATCGCTAGAACCGTTTTGTAGAAAATCCTTTCGTTATACTTGTCATATTCTTCAGACGTTATGTCGATAAACTATAACCTTTTCCGTTACTCGCAAACAAATGATTACAATGAGAAGCTGGCTGAGCTAGGTGTTCGATATTAAATCTAAAAATTTTTGGCGGGTATTTTTAAAAATTAATTGATATTCATGTTACTTGTGCACTAACCTACAACTATATGCAGTATTTATTAATATTTTTTGTTAGGTAAATTATACATAGTACATAGAAAACGTGGCCATTATCATAAGTTATGACCCTTTAAAGTGCCAACACATTTTCAATGTAAAGGCATTGGCTAGCAACGCGTCACGTGAAATAGAATACAAAGTTTTTCACACTACTGACACCGGCAATAATATTACGTACACATAAGCAAACTGGTCAATGGACAACTATTATAAAAGATTTATTTTATTATATAATAAGGAGAGAAAAATAATACGGATACATGAGTATGTTATTGTTTTGTTGATGTCTGAACGTTTCGTGACGTGTGTTACAGGTAACGGCTGCCCAGTACGTGCCTAGTCATATTAGCCGACCTGACTATGCTCAGGTATAGCCGTTTGTCATAATCGTAGTATTATGAACGGTCACCAATTATCTAGCCAGAGCTGGTATTTTTTAAAAATGGTTGTATTTTACAAACTCCACATATTTTTTTTTAACCCATATTAACATCGGCTGTGTTGATTGCATATGTTGTAGGAAATAATATTTATAAGTTTGCTTACAGACTGTGTAGGACCGTAACCAATTATTTGAATAGCTTTACATCACTGTTTACTACAGATTTTGATAGCATAGCTATAATTAAGGAACATCTAAAATTTGTTCAATTCAGTACCTATTAGAGTTTACCATTTATGCCTTATAACAATTCAGTTTTTCAAATTTCAGACCGGAGTCGTCACGGAAGTTCCTCAGAAGCCTGATATCAAAAGCCGCGATCAGATTCTGCGACTAACGGAAGCCTGTCAGCTGGCAAGACAAGTTCTTGACCGAGTAGGAGCTCATGTACAAGTTAGTAACTGATGTAACCGACAAGTTCAAACCAAATATAAAATATGCAATCTATCTGCGTCCGATTTAGTCGGAACAAAAGGTGTAAAAACTATGTTATATGATAGCCTTCCGAACCTAGCAAATCCTAGAGACGTATCAAGACGCCTCGCTATGTTTTATAAACATTGCATCCACTGCTGGTAGGGTTCATAAGCACTTCAATATCAGAGTGTACTGTGTTCGATGCGTCTAATCTATTACATCCTACATGACTAACGTGATAAAGATATATAAACATATAGACAGCCCAGCAAATCTGTCGAAATCATCATTCACTCAAAATAAACGGTTATTGATGATCATAGATTTGATTTCGTAAAAGCTACCATCCGTGTTTACTTGCAATACTTTCTTTTATTTCTGTTTGTTTCTGGAGTTGCCCTTTACAGGAAGGCATAACAACCGATGAGTTGGATAAATTGGCCCATGCATTATGCATCGAAAGGGGGGCATATCCGTCGCCTCTCAACTACAAATGGTACCCGAAGTCGATCTGTACATCCGTCAACAATGTGGCTTGTCACGGAATACCTGACACTCGAAGATTGAAGGACGGAGACATCGTCAGCGTAGACATCAGTGTATGTAACGTAGAGTCTACCTCAACCATGATCACTCATTTTAATGATGATTTAATGAGGAAACAAGCAGCAGCAGCTGCCACTATGAACAGAAAAGGCACAGAAGGGTACACATTGAGCAAAGAAATGAGACTAGACTGATTGATCGATACGATTGCTTGGTCAAACCTAGGCAACGGGCTGAGAGAACAGTGACAACAACGAAAATTCATAACGAGCGGCGGCCAAAAAATGGTTCGATCGAGGTAGTGGCAACAGCGTGGTGATCAGGTTGCCTTCCTTGTACGCTGATGTATTTAGGTGTTCTTTAATGGTTACCATGGCGACTGCGCGGAGACATACCCTGTAGGTATGATTGATGAAAGAGGATGGAACGTCATTGAGACGGCGAAGTACTGCCTCGAGGCTGGTATCGCGGTATGCAGGTAAGTGTGTATAGCACACTTTAACTCTTTATTGGTGCTGTGACCCGCAGAGAGGATACAGAAACGTCACGTTCGAAATGGGTCTGGGTTCATCTGCCGTGTCTGGTTTCAGGTGACGAAGCCCATGATATTCGAACACGAACAAATTTTATCCGTACGCCCTTATTGAAAATATAGATAGCTATTTAAACGTAGCTATGGTCATTCCTCCCTTGTGGCTTGTGCGGTTAGACATTTTACGATAGATTTAGGATAGACTGACTAGTAAGATTATTTAGATCTCTTTATCGTACCTTACTAGCTACCTTGCCAACTCCCCGTTGTGGGAAACGGAAGGCTGAAATGAAAAAAAAAGCTGTCCTTGTATAGAAAACCTGTGACGTATTCTCTTGTTGTGATTGTAAGGGACGGCGCGAAACTGTCCGCTATTGGTGAGGCCATTGAGAAACGAGCCGCCGAGTCCAATTGCACGGTGGTACCTTACTTCTGTGGACATGGAATCGGCACCTACTTTCATGGACCACCGAATGTCCTCCACTTCGGTAAACAGATATTTAAGCAATTTTTAATAAATAATTGTATTTGCATTTCTAGCCCGTCCGTACAGATATTTAAGTATTCGATGAGAGTATAATCTCGATGATGATTCAAGCCTTTTATAACTACCACCTGTACTAGCTGTTTTGCTTGGGAAGTCTGGATCGTACGAGCTCGATTAATGTATACATATGCGAATTTTAGGTTTTCTTTTAAACGTTTTCAGCCATTCTTCCTGCGTAATAGCCTTTTTTGTATATAATCGAGGAGTTGCTCCTACTAAAAGATCTACCAGGGGTAAGTTCCCGCCTTTTCTAGGGCTCAAAACCGACATGGCAACCATACGCCGTGCTAATTTTAATCTCTGACGTTTTTTTTTAGCTTCGGATGAGAATTCGGAGGTTATGCGTGCCGGCATGGCATTTACAATTGGTGAGTTTTTTTTTTACGGTGATAATTGAATGATTTTGTGTACGGTGGCGGACTTTACGAGATCGCTGATTTTTGCTGCTTTTAGCCAGCATTGTTATATCATTCATACGGAAAAATCAGTTCATTAAATTAGTTAATTGTTGATTAAAAGTTGGTTTATGCTCTGATAACCAAATGGATAGTTAAGTTCCATGAGGTACGCAAGTTAATCATAAATGGATAGTTAAGTTCCATGAGGTACGCAAGTTAATCATTTCTAAGTTTTTAGGAATAAAATTACGAACAAAATTAGGAAAAAAACTGAAGGAACATGAGGCGTTCGGCGTCTACCTATTTGAATGATAGATGTCATCCTTCTAACGTTATGTACTGACTTGTCTGGCAAAGGTCTAATTAACGCAAAGTATCAATGTTTTCTTCTTCTTTTTTGAAGTATACCTATCAGCTACGTTTCTAGTTTTTACGTAAGAGAATTAAGCAAGACCAATGACTTGAAAAGTCGGTGACCGTCACCTGATTGCCTAAATCAATCCCGAAGTGAAGAGCAGAGTTGAAGCACTTTGTAAAAAGCATAATGTATTAGGCGATTTGGGCGTAATGAACAATCACACAACATTTTCGTACAAATAACAAGTGGTTAGCCATGCTGAAGAAGAGGACGGCCAAGTTCATGGAAACTAATGTTTTTTAAATCTGAGATAGCTACAATATATTGTTATTATCAATACGATGTAAAGGTTGGAACACACAGAATGATCTAAGAAATGTAATAGAAAGAAAATATTACATTCTTAGTAGGGGTAGCAAGCCACATACACGAAATTATTTCTCACCGTTAAATATTTTTTTATATTATACTCTTCTTATATATTCTCTCCTCTTATACTTCAGAACCGGTGATCTCAGAAGGTGGAAGTGAGATTGTTGTTCTTGAAGACGGCTGGACCGCAGTCAGTACGGATTATTCTCGAAGTGCCCAGTTTGAACATACTATAGTCATCACGCCCTCAAGCGCCGAGGTGCTCACCAGTTCTTCGACGGATTTCTGAAGTGGATTGAAACAGGCTGAAGTGAAACAAGTGATTGTTGTTTCTTAAATATGCTAATCGGCATTTTAAAGCATCTAAAAGGAAGCCATCTTAGTCATCCGTAGGGTTTATGAAGAATTACAAGAGCAACCTCATTACAAATGCTGGAGAAGGAGTCAACAGCGAATTTTCAATTTGGAAATGGCGAAGTATATGGTACTGAAATCTCTTTTGTCGCTTGTTTTTAAAAGAAGTCTATCCAATATTGCACTAACACGATTCTACAATAACAAACTAACGCTTTGAAGCACCTGTTACACACCTAACAGATTTAATGGACGCGAACCCTTTGTCCAGGCGCGATACAAGCTATCATTTACCGACTTCAAAAGAAGAGAAATCTATCAGTCAACAGGAGAGACCACACTGGCGCCTGTCACTAGCAGACGCATATCCGTGCCGCCTCTATGTAGCATCACCTGTTTAGGATGGCACATTTCAAACACAATACTCAAGTGGAAAGCATTCAAGGGACCGTTCTTTTTGCAAGAACGTTGCACCCCTATGAAACGAGTGAAACAACACCATGTCGGATCCTACCAGGAGTGCGGGGAGTACGGACCACTAAAGGAAGACAAAGACAGCTTTACATTATCTTGTCTGATACTGAACTGCTGTTGAGACGAACTGATCGACAATTTTCTTTTCGCAAAAAGAGCGAATTATGACAGATTATAGATGAGTCATTGGCCATAGATAATAGCAGGAACGTCGAATTTAGCTACAACATTGTGTTATGTTCCAGATATTTTTATCACTGTATTTAATACAAGCGAAATAAATAGCAAATATGATTCATACAGTCATTGGTAGAACCTCCTCTTCTTATTTGGCTCTTCTGGTTGTTTCCAGTAATCCCGGGGGTTATTCTATTGGTACGTCTCTAGATCCCTATCAGTCAGCGAAGACGAGGATTGAAACTAGCCTCGCACTGAAAAGTCGAGATTTTACTGAAGCTCCATTCAAGTCTCGTCAAGTTTCAGTAAAGTTACCGTAAAAGTATATTCAGGTTATAAATTAACATCAAATTGCTGGACTTTGTGTTTTATGTGCATATTGCATCGATCCCGTGATCGGGCTGAGAAAATTGGTGGAATCAACGATGAATTTCTTGCACGATTGAGATTAACTACGTAGGCGTTCTTAACCTAAAAACAATCGTACTTACAACAAGCGTTAGTAACCTCATTTGGTAAAAAGCAAAACTACACCGTTGATATTTAAAGTGAGAATAATTAGGTTACTTATTTTGAAATTTTCTACTAATGGATATGTGAAAAACTTCCATTAGCAAAATTCAGCATCGCAGTGCTAATAAAGTTTGCCGTTCGATCGTAGATAATAAATTCAGTATATTTACATCATACGTTGTTACATCGATTGGTTCTAATGGTTTCCCGAGTGTATAGTAGTATGAATATTCCCAAGTAGTATGCCATAGATTGATGCCGTACTATATTGAAATCATCTCATGACCATCGATAGAATTTGGGTGAAACACAAATCGATGTGACCTTATATCTTCAAATACTGGCATTGTATTCTTTATAGAAATAATCTTCTAGGCACTCGGTGATCGCACAGTATCAAAAACGCGGAGGTGATGCTCTGAGTCACGTAAAGTCGGAAGATACTGACGTAGATCCAATAATTTTACATTAAAACAGCTACGTCGTTAAATAACGTAGCGTTGTATAGTGGTGGTCGACCGCACTCGAGGAGCAGCCAATGCCGATAGATTCCTCGTAAAGTTTACGTTTTTTTTTACACGTTACATCGACGACTGGCGACATCTCAGCCAGTTGTCATGTCCTAACGTTTCGGAAGATTGAAACATAAGCGCGCTAAAAAAATTTATAGGTAGAACCCTCGGTTAGCGCTTAAACTTGACAGTGGTTCTGCCGCAAGATGCGATGGCGAGATCATGCAGGTCTATTAGATCTACATTACTTAAACATAGGCACCGGAAAATGACGATAAAAGATTGAGTGGGGTAAAACGTGTTGGCTGGCATTCATTAGCTAGTTATAGGAATTTCTCCAGTTTCCAACAAGAATTCTATTATTGATCTCAGTTTCTGTTCGTGACGATGGGGCTTCGGCAAGGATTCAGTTCAGTAGGCGAAACAACTTCGTCGGCTGAAAAAAAAGCCAGAATATGTACAGATCTCGGCATTTTACTTAACCGAACCTTCAGTATGTAGCCGATGTAGGATTATATATATATATATATGTATGTACTCGATTCGAAGTAATATCAAATATATCGTGAACCATGACCCAAGCTGATAAAGGGGTCCAGAGTTTAGTGGGTGAGAGTCCCGCAGTACCGGACAAAACACAATTCAGTGATATCTGGTCTGCATAATGCGTTTGCCCTTAACCTCTAAAAAAAAAATGTACCCGACGCGAGAGCTGGAAGCATGCATTCGGACAGCATTTTCAAATTTAGCATGGTTTCTAAGAACTTACCTTACTTACTCGCTCAATATTTGTAGCATAGAATGATAAAAAAAAAAGTCTCTGCGATAGGTAAATCATGGTATAAGAATTTGAGTTGATCGCTAATGGTTTCGCCAGAATCCAGAAACATCTCTCGCCTTTCAACACAAACGTTTGAGATGCAATCGACTAGTTTTGATTATACAGATGAGTCCTGCACGGTAGGACCGGCAGATCCAACGCTAACTCTAGTCGATCACTGACAGTTTTTGTTATGGTACCCGAAGTGAACTAATATAGTTCCCATTGATTTAGATATAGTTGACGTCAATAAATAGCCAGAGTCATTGAAGCTTGCAATTGATGAAAGCTATTCTAAAACACGGGATTTGCGAAGATCTAGTATTACGTAAATTTGACAGAAAGATTCCTGTAAAATATAAGCCACTGTTAAAATAATATTAAATTTGAGAGGTGACGTTAAAAAAAATTAATGTTGCAAAAATGGTAATGTGATGGGTGAAACAACCCATGTCGACCCCTCCAGTTTTTCAGGTTTTAAAAAATATATATACTTGGCCCTATAATTATTTTCCACCATTAGCTATATGCATTTGAAAAAAATCGACAAAGTTATTTTTCATGTTTGAAAGCGTTTTCCCCAAAATCTTCCTTGTGTTGTATATACAATGTAGTATATATAACCTTTTGCATTTTGTCAATGCTTAACAAAATGTCTGCGGGTTCATTGCTGTTATAAATTTATTTTCATAGAAATATTTTACAGTATCGTTCGTGTTGTTTTAATGATTAATTAAATAATCTTAACAACGATCCGCCTCAAGCTTCGTGGCATCACATAAGTGTGTCATCTAAAATAATATTTAAACTTAGACACGTGTTCTTTTTATAATACATAACAACATATATACAATATAAGCAGTGGATGTATTTAGATGCAACGTTTAGGTTCATGTGACCTATCTTACTGAGCCCAAAAAGCTTTTATAATATATCAGCTTCACGTACTTCATCGTAATTTTACGAAGACGAATTTACAATGTTCGCGTACACATGTTTACAATTCTGGATGTTTTATAGTTTCGATGCTATTTGGGCTGTCTGCGCTCATCTGATAAACGCCCAAATGATCGTGCGTGGCGCCGATAAACTTGCCTGTTCCGATAATCCCGATTGCTTTCCTTTCAGATACCCAGCGTGCGCAAGACTTGATTGAGCGACTCTCGATATTTATCACTTTGCCATGGCCCTCCTCCCATCGCCCGCCTTGATAGACACCGGGACCTTATGTAATGTGTCTCTTCAATTTATCATTGACCTGCCATGTATGGACGACCTCGTCATCTAAATGGGTCACAAGAACATCCAGAAATGACTACCCTGTTACTGTATTGTTGCCGTACATTCCTATCAAGGAGATAGTGACCCTATTAGGTTTCTCATAAAATACCTTGTTGCCTATTAGCCACAACAAAGCACATGATGTGCCTGTTAGTTGTATAGAACTCGAATGGATTTTGTCATGGTCGGCAACTTAAAAGTAAAGCTCGGATAAATCACGGGCTTTTAGTTCATATATGGAGTTACCAGACGGGCCGTGAGCCATCTTCGAGCAGGCCCATCAAAACTTTTCACGTGCATTCTCGTGCAGTTCTCGAGTCCAATGCATCTACGCTTTCCGTGGTACTGACGCGGGCATCCTTACGGAAAATAACGAACGCTTAAATAAAGTCGAACAAGTTTGCTTCGGGTATATAGCAGAAGTGCCAGCTCCTTCAACGACCGATCTTTGATCCCAAATATATAGTTTGTATCGTATCAATAGCAATGGCTCCATATACCTGGGAAATACCTCACAAGCTGTTGCTGACCCGTGAGGCCAACTCATTGAAGCAGCTTATGTTGTTGTCGAAAATGCAGAGTTATTTATGTTGCTAGAATGTACAACTCTTAAGATAACTCATTCCGTCGTTGCAGCAGTAGGTCAATTTCGACGTACGAGAGCGCCATCTGTTGCTGATAACTTCGTCCAGCATGATGCCAGTTCATAAGTCGTTTTCAGAATAGACCCAGTTGATGACGCGTTGTTGTGGCGTCCTGCTGAAAATGTTTTAAGTACGGGGGTGTTAATGCTAGCTTTCGGTGTCAACTCTGCCAAAAACGGACTAGTAGGGGGCTTTGCAAAGCTCACCTATATCCGTTGTAGAAGCAGATCTGGTGGTCTTTTGGTCGTCATGATACTATTTGTTTTCGCTGAAGGAAGATGGTGGATCACTGAAATGCTTCTGTTGGTCCCAATGCAGGCGTTGCTCTTCGTAGGGGCATTCGTCGACCTCGCCGGGGATAAGAAAATAAGTGTACAAGTAATAAACGGATTTAATTGATTTAGCCTACAGGGCCTTTTATCGCCTAGTTCCGGATTTCCTCGGGAACTGCATTTTATAATCGTTCTTAAAGCTCGTGGGTAACATCTCAATAAATCGCTCCATTGGTTCATAGGACTAATTCGTCAGAAATGCTTCTACGAACAAGCAATCCGTCGAATTATCCTGAAAAAACGTCATTTACTTCAAGACTGGATATTCAAATTGGAACAAAGAGACAGCTGTGGTAATTCTTAATTAATAATAATAATAATAAAAAAAAAATAATAATAATAACTTAATCGATCAGGACTTAAATTTGTACAATTTCGATACGAGTAATGTAAACAAGCATAATAACGCAGCTGAAGGAAGAGCTGGATGTTTATACTCGATACGACATTCTTCAGCTCAGGATTCTTCCGAGTAACTTTACGGAAGTCCTAGACTATGTTTGGAACATATCATGATCGACCGTTCCGATTGTGGCTGAGTCACGACGCAGTAGCTTGAGAGGATTATGGCTGCTTTCGTCTAAATTTCTCTGTCATAAAGCTTCTTCGTCTAGCTGCAGCTGTCCGCTATCACCGGCGCTGCTGGCCTTATTGTATAGAGCTGTCTTATTCCAGCTTCATGGAGAAAGTACTACCAAATTTGTGCAGGAACAACGGTCAGCATCATCAAGGCCTTTCGCCCTCGCTGTCAATATCGGGAGAGGCCTGAGCAAGCTCATAGTTTGTATTAATGCCACCGCTGCCATATAGTCATAGTCATGCTTTGTTGGAAGCAATAATGTTAAAATTGCTTTCTGGTTGGACCTCTGTAGGTGAAAAGACAAAAAAGTAGTACGAACTACCTGTCGAATTACAATTGTGACTATGTAATATTCGATTTAAGGTGATCTGAAAGAAACTTTCGGCAGATTGGAAAGTTTCCAGCGATGGTGGGGACATTAGGTACGGTACTCTATGTTTAGAACCGAGATCAAATACACTACTTCGTGCTGGGGGCCATTCATCTCCGGAGAAGGGCAGTACTGCACGTAATACCTAATTAGATTTAAGTATCAGATAATAATAAGTTCAGTGCGCCATTTACTAGGCTATTAAACAACGTAAATAGACTAACATGATCATATGTTAATCTATTCAAGTTGATGTTAAACTCCATATATTTGCCCCTGGGAATAGTTGACTTACAAAGATCTGTCGGGGTAATTACTACCTCAGTAATAATTAATCTTGCTAGTAAATTTAGTTTTCATGTATATGATGAATTAGGCGCATTTTTACTGAGCACATTTCTGAGAATTATAAGCTTTATCATTCACGGAATACTAAAACGTTTACTCGCCAGGCTACAAGTCCACTCATACCTTTTTCAACCTTATTGGCCCTAAA